ATTTTATGGAACACATTAGTTATAATTATTATTTTATTAATTTTTTATTGGCCATTCATTAAAAAGAATCAATTAAGATGCATTAGTAATAAACTATGATGCGTTTTTAATGAAAAAATTGCTTTATGTAGTTGCAAAAAAGCGATTACTATTTTTGCGGAAAATCGGGAGAATTAGAAATTAATTTTAAGAGTCTAAATTAGGTCTTTAAATGTCAGGTTAAAGAACTCCAAAGGTTAACAATGTCCCTCCGTCGTTCGATCGCATGCTTACCGCAAAAATCGATAATAGCACAACACGAACGGTGCACATTTAAGAGTGGCATTTATTTAAACCATAAATTACCTAGGTTTACGACATCTGGCCACATAGAGAAAAACGATTTTCATCAAATCATTTCACTTAAGTAATTACTTGGATGATTGAATTTGGTTATTTATTGATACAAGTAAATGTTTGTTAGTGTAGCTGAAAAACAGTAAAACTAGTGTTAGTTCAAACACTAACATTAGAACTAACAACTAGACCTAGAACTAGAAACATTTGGATTTAGCCGTCTTAAAAGACGTACGGCTAAACCCGAATGTTTCAAGTTCTAAGTCTAGTGTTACTTCTAGTTTTAGTTCAATAAAAATCTAACGTTGAATAACAACTAAAACTAATACTAGATCTAGAACTAGAAAGTTCTAACCTTCTTATTATAATTTTTGATATAATCATGTAACTTTTAATTTATAAATAAGTTTATGAGACATTTACCCTTTCATCCATATGTTATTATATCAATATGAGTTGTGTCAAGTATTAAACTTGATTTATTGTAAATTAGTGAGAGTTAACTAACGGGTACCGACCACTTAAAGTAAAGAATAATAACGTAACAAAACGGTAAATTTAACTCGACAGTTGCTATTATTAATCAAGAGGCGGACACGGTTGAAAAATTACATCTCGAAATCTATTAACGTCTATTTGAAAGTTTTGACGTTCGTATTGAAACGGACAGCCAGACTGACCAAACAACCTACAAACGAACCAATCGATCGATCGAGTACGATACTTATACCACTTTCAAACTTCTTGCTCTGATGTCAAGATTTAACAATACCTCCGCACAAACTTTATTTATTACACAATTTATAAGTTATATCCCGCTGAATGTCGCGTCTCCTCCAACACATCTTCCCAGAAACATTGCGTTATTATTAGATTGTACGTAGATAAGACTTCCGCTTCATAACTTAAGTCGGTTGAGATGAACGATGTCGGTTTGTTTTTCTCGTTGGTGGTATTGAAGGAACCACGAAATATAAAAAATGTATTCTCGAGCTCGTTTTCTCTCTATAGTCTCTATACAAACCAGGATATGTAGGTCTCTTACAAACACCGGTAATCCGCCGTTAGATTACATGGACAAACTATAACAGATACTTGGAAGATTAGCGGTTGTTGTACAAATAATGTTATAACTGAGTGTTATGTTTATCGTACACCTTCAGCTGTTTACACTCGAATGTATAGATTAATCATTAAAGAGTTTGCTTTCTTCTTTGAAAGTATTACATTTGTTTTAATTTTAATTATTAATTGGATTTACAATAACGTCTTTATTTACATGATAAAGTGTTATGTGCTTATTAAAAAACGGTGCAACTATAAATTGTGTTTAAATGTTTGTTAATAATAAGGTATACATAACAGTATACATGTTACTAATAATATAGAGAAAAAATTTGTTTTTAAACTATCAAAAAACCTTAGTTTTTCAGGTTCGATCATCCCAAAGAAACACAGCCCTGAAAATATGTCGTCTAACATAAACTGAATGAAAAATCAAATTTCCTGAGAATATGTTCAGCTATAGACATGATTTTATAAAAGAAGCAGATGTCAAACAAGATACTGAATCAAGCAAAGAAAATAACATTTTCATTTATTTTTGAAAGAAGTTTGCAAAAGATTGAAAGCTTTTCGCGAAGATGCACCAATTATACTTTGAGCAAATTAATTAAAAACATACAAGGGTGTAAAATTTGCATGTTTGGGCAAAAGAAGTTTCTTCAAAGGCGTTGTAGAGTTAAAGAAGGCAGTAAAAGGATAACAATTTGTTTAATGTGCTCATTGTGCGAAATTCTATGCAGAGTTATGCATAAAAAACGGTGCTTTATGGAAAAAGTATGATGCTGAGTAGTTTCTACGAATTGTTGGTTTGTTAACATTGGCAGAAATTTACAAACCCCATAACGACGGAATCAATAATTTATAGAATGCAGAGGATGTATGCTCTCAACAGGTAAAAACAAGTTTTCTACAATTTCAAAATGTTTACGTATTTGATAATGCTGAACCACAGAGAAAAAAATTTATAGGCAGAAAACTTATCACTTATCACAGGCTAGAGCTTTCTTTGATTCAAGCAATTAACCCACACTACAAAATGTTTTCAAACAGTATATTTCATCTAAATCAGGAAAGTATAGGGTAAAGATTTGAGAACCTTGTGAAAATATAAGGTTGCATACTAATAATTGCCAAATATACATCGGGAGTTGTACAAATAAAAGGGTTGAAGGGATCTGGGAGAAATGTGATAACCAGTATTTTTTTTACAAACTTTGACCTAGCCATAGAATTGCAAAAAAGAAATCTTACATTGTTTAGTACAATTTAAAAAAAACTTGGATTTTCCTCAAGAACTGGTCATTACTAGTATCTTAAAAAATGGAAGATCGTTATTTTATTACCAATTATGCACATTAAAGATGAAATTTAGGAAAATGAAAAGAATAAGAAACCATAAATAACACTGATCGTCAAGATTTTTACCACACGGATTCTGAATACTAATTACTACTTTACTACATAACCTCATCACAAAACACACATTACTTTATTTCTGGCACCCATAGATTTGTTGTGACACTTATGATTTTACCGTAATTTCCACTAATACTACTGTACGTATAGTCGAATTGCATCAAGTTTTGATTTAAAACTTTGTTAAATTGTGAATTTAGCATACCTTGATCTGGATAGAGCCTGTACTAACGTAACTGATTTACACGAAGAATGTTTTACACGAGCCCGTCAGAGTACCTTTACCGCCTTTTCATATAAAACTAGGTTTGGTAAAAAAGTTTGTCAAAACCATGGATCGCAACCGTTCAGGTATTATGCACTTGAAAGAAAAGATCTTAGAAAAGTTTTAATCATATCGTGCAAAATTTTTTGGGAAACCACAAAGCAAATAACTACAAAGAACTGATAGAACTACTTTCCACATATCAAGCATTGTGTTGTAATATATCACAGTGTATCAAAACACACTTTATACTTCTTTCCCAAGAACCTAGGAGCCGTTATCGATGAACATGGAAAAAGGTTCCATCACGATACTTTCAGCATGGAAAAACGATACCAAGGCAAATGTTGGATATTTGCAAGAGACCAGTCTCATGTCAAAAAAGTTCATGATTTCAATAAAACTAAGTCAAGCGTACTTATTAGACCAGCTTCTCCGTATCTATACTGTCAAAAGGCAATCATGAAAATGGCCAGCGATAGCTTTTTATAACATGATTATTAGACATTAGTGCACTGAACGCTTATATTATATGGTATCATCTAAACGAAGACTGGAAAATTAAGGAATGTTAAAAAGGCGAAAAACGCGGAGAAAAAGCTTCGATACCACAAAAGGGCTCTCAAGAAAACCGGAGTTTAGAAAAATGAAATCATAATTTCATAAACGGATGCAAACAAATTTGTAAGTAACGTAGACATTATAAATACGTATCACAAGTTATAGAATAATTCTTAATCATTAAAAGTGTTTTTTATAATAGATTAAAATTTTTGTTTAAAATTTTCTTTTTAAGTTTTCGATCTTTTTCAATTATTTATGACTTCAACTGGATCGATACATGTATAGATAGAATAACTTAACAGTAACTTATATAAGAGACCAGTTTTTACTGGTTGTGCGGTTCTACATTTCATCCGCTCTTTTTCTTTTAATTTTTAAGGTACTGCACGTGCACCTTAAGACTTCAAAAGAGACATACACAGGCTTGTCCATCATTTCCCGCAGTTTTCATCTTATGTGGTATTCTCACGGTACAGTATGTACGTTCACGGACTCATTATTTATTACCGCTTAGCGATATTTATGTGCCGCCACTACTCCCGAGTACAGAGGAAAATAGGTGAACCTCGACTATTATTTGCTTGCTCTATTTGGATAAGTTATTAGAATTGTCCACTGGCGAGATGTATCGTACAATAGGCCGCTTTCCAAAACGAATACTCCGTCTACATGATGTTTATGACGTTCCGAGAATGTGCCGTAGTTTGCAATAAGTTGATGTTGTATTGTAGAAAATTGCCAATTAATCAATTCGCAATCCGAGCCATTACAGTCAGTTGGTAGATTACTTATTTCCTGAGTATTTTATGGAGGTCAGCGCATTTTTTATTTGTTTTCGAAATTTGTTTATTAGTCAAAAATTAAAATAAATTAACCTTTCGCAAAAGAAGGTGATTATATTACAGAAATTTATTCAAAAAGAAAAGTGTTAAATAAAAGGTAAAAGTGTTCTAATTTATTCTATATCATTTATTTTGTTATGGTGAAATCCAATCGTCTTTCGCATGATCAGTTCATTAAGTTCATATTTTAGCTTGATTTATTAGTCGCTCTAGTGAGTTCAAAATCGCTAAAACTTGTATGGTTATTCATTTTTCTGAAGGTTAAACGATTGTTAAAAATAAAATAATAAAAGGTTTTATTTTGTTATTTTATTTTTTTGTTTAGTTTAAACAAAAAATGTAATAAAATTTGTAGTTTATAACTTAATCAAGACGTTCGAAAAATTCTTTAAATAAAACTAATACCTACACAGTAAAAGTATAAAAAAATAAGGTTTTATATTATAGTAATGTTTAAGAAAAACTTCTTTGGTAAAAGTCTTCAAAAAAATGTTAATGTTTCGATTATTTACCCAATCAAATCTAATATGATGACTAGCCCACAAATTGTGACGGCATAACGTAGAGCTGCCAGACGCATGCTGAACACTCAGCTGATTCTGACATTCAGCTTCTTCATCATCATTATCATCGGCCACTGTCATCACAACCGGCTCGCACTGGCACTGTCATGACACGATCATTACATCATCTCAAATCGATTACATCTTTCAATTAATTCTTGCAAAACTTATGAAACAATCTTTCTCAACGAACTACATTCCTTCATAAATGTTTTAAAAGAAACTTAATTCTAAAAAGTCAATATTTTTAGGAATTTTTATGTCCAAAATTTTTTCGCGATTGATTTTTTTTAAAAGGAGATGTTTCATCCGACAGTTTTCACCGATGGCTTATAGAACACTGTCCGCTATCTGCGGCACCTTCAGTCGCGGCACCGCGTTGTTACCTGTAACGCGAATGGGTCCGGGCCAATAGCAGGTAAGTGATCATCCCCCACCCTATCGTTTTGTTCCACCGGAGCATTTACAATTTTACGATGATTACACCTATGATTTGTCAATCTGCAAAAAAACTACACTCTTCCAATAAATCTCGTTGACGCACTAAAACCATTATTTTAGAACCCACTTTTTATATTGGCACTTCCTCGAACTAATACTACGTCAATGATATCTAAGTTTCATTCATTAACAATAAATTTCATGGAAAATCAACCCAAACTTATTAAATGAATTTAAACAAGATGTTGTAATTTTGTGGTGACGATATTAATGTTCTAAGACATGCCGTTTATCTTCTCAAAAATGTATTCGAAGAAGCAAAGAAATACAATCATATAAAGTTGTGGAAATCAAGAATGCAAATTCAGATTTAAATATAGTTTTAATCAATATCATTTATGTATAAACCTTTATATTACCAATATCACAATAACAATATCAGCCATCGAACATAACATGATTCAAGATTAACTACACTAAAAAGAAGAGAATTAGTCAAAGCAAAGCAACCCACAGCAAATATCTACGGGCTAATCAACATAAAGAAAAAAATCTCATTTGTCAGAAAATTGCTTTGACTTGTCTGTAGAATACTCCATGGTCATTCAATGTTTATTGACAGATCTTGAATAAAGGAGAACAACCCAGCCTTACATAACAAAAAAAAAACACAGTTGGAATGCATTAAAGTTAGAAACGCACATAAAAAGCATGCCAGGCTGCTTTACCCAAGACTATGCACAAGCTCGGATGCGATTGGATTAACTGATGACGACCAGGTGAGAAATGGGACAAGATTGAGAAAACCAACCACAGTGAGAATTAGATTCTGGAATATAAAAACAAAAAAGTAAGGAAAAGCAATGTTTGATATGAAAATTACAAACTAATCACTTCAGCGGTGTAGAAAAAGGTAAAAGCGTACAAGAATCAACAACATAAATAACATCAACGATAGACTCCTGCATCCATCGGCCAGCTTTCAAAAAGATAAAACAACACACCTTATCGCTCCAGACACCAACAAAACAAAGAAAACTGAAATACACATTCTACTACAATCTGCAAATGTCTTGGATGGTGTATGGAAGAAGGATGAAATCACAATCTTGGGAGACTTGGTAATGAGGTTATTCCTAGCATCAAAAGCAGATTCACAAATATAGCTTTTAAACTACAAGAGGCCAAAAAACAATAATAGATTTTATGATCACAAATACAAATTTGCATCCCAGTAAAATAATAGACATGAGAATTTTGTTGTCCACTGACCAAAATCTTGTACGACCTCAAAGAAAAGCACTAAACAAAACATAGAGCTACTGGAGACGAGGTTTGAGGAAAAAACTGTATGGAAAAAAACTACATTCAACTATACTTAAATCAACAGAGAACGCATTAAGGAATCAAAAAGTGAAGGATCTAACTGCGGATAACGTCTGCGAGGCAGAATAGAGAGACCATGTCGAAAAAATATCAAAAATCGCCAGAAAGGTGGAGTTTACCTAATGGTGGAGTTTCGCATTTTAGCCGAAACTGCTGATGAAAGACTTATTATAGGAGGAAGAAGAAAAAGATGACATTCTTCTCATCCATTTGAAAATATTTTACGTTGAGAATATAATAAGTTTTACGTTAAATATAGTATGTTTTTGCCAAAAAATACAATACATCGATTATTTAAGCCATGATCCAAGGAATAATTTTAGCAATTAAACGAATATATCGAAGAAACTTTTTAGACAAAGTAATGATAGTATTGGAGTACGAAGAAAAGGAAAGAGATTAGACGCAATTTAAAATCCACAATTTTTAATTTCGCGGCAACATAGAAAGAAGTCAAAGTCCAAACATTACAAAATTGATGGAAGAATTTATTTGATGATAAAAATATTGATTTCGAAGGAGTAGAAGTTTTTAATTTTTGTTCCACTGTACAAAACAACATTGGGGTATATGTTTGGATGTTGGAAGATGTTGGTTGAAATCGTCTGTTATATTTCTACTACTTAGTCAAGATAATTAGTTTCCAAAAATTCAGCACATATGAGGACAAAAAATCTAAAAATGTTGAGGAAGGAGATATACATGACGCAGTAAAAGAACCAATCTTTTAGTGTTTCAGTAATATTCTGTAATTCAGCATTGTTCTTCAGGATGCGTATCATTAAACATAGAATAGAACCATAATAAATATTATCCGCAATCAAGTTGAATAACAGATGATATGAAATTTTGGACACAATGTTATATTTAGAACCAAAATTAATTTTTTTGGGTGTACTCAATTATTTAGTAAGCCATATTGAAAAATGTCATAAACTACATCAAGATTTTAATACTTCAGTACCAGAACTTAATAGTGATGTATAAAAATTCCATCGAAATTATGTCTATCTGTCTGTGGTAAAATCTAAAGCAGCGGGTTTAGTTCAGGCCTTCGTAATTATGTTTGATGGACGATTCTCACGTTACTAATGATACGTTTGGAGGATGAACGGGTGGAATTAAAAGAGGGGAATAAATACGGTACGGAAACCAGCATCATCATTGAACGGTGAATGCTTCGAAATTGCGACCGGTAGGGCGTATTATTCGTAAAATGAAAATTTCGAAGGCCATCTCGTGTCAATAACGAGAACAATACAACCGAAAACACGTTGTGCTTACACGTGAATGTTAACAGACGTTAACGGAACTACGGCCGCGCGATTCACGTTTTGTCGGTCGAACGACAAATTATAATAAAATTGGTTTTGGTTGGAAACGTGTCTTTATGGATAACAAGCTTTTTTTGTCGATTATTTACCATTACAAAAACTTTTTAAAGATTTAACACAAATTGGCCTTACGAAATTCAAGTGTTGTGTCACATCTATTGTTTAAAACAACTTTATTTCTTTTCCTCATTGATACGATCATTTCTACATAATTCTATATGAGTTAGGCAAAAAAGCTATAAGAAAAGATTGTAACAATCACCTTGAGGATAATGGTCAAGCGTGTTCCTTTTGGCCCACACTTTGCTCTACAAGCGTCGCGGTGAGTTATGGCTTCAACACTTTATGCGCTGATTGAATACAACAGTTCTGTTACGTTTGTATTGTGTTGTAATCGATTTCTCCGTACGTTATTTATTGGTAGGAGCGGAAATCCATTAGGTTAATCCAAAGTTAAAACCGTACCCAATCTTCTTTTTCTTATTGTAAACTTTGTATAACCCGTTAATTTTCACAATCTTTCGCATTCCTTAAAGAACAACAATTATTATAATCCTCCAAAATGTGTAAACGTAATACAACTAGAAACCTAAAATTGTATGTATTCACGTAATTCTGCAATTAATACTTCTTAATAAAAGAGATTACAATAGTCCAATAAGCGAGAAACCCGAGAATTTTAAATTAAAATCATGAACCTAAAACAGGAATCGAAAAAAGAAATAGATAAACAAAACGAAGTGTATTTCTTTGTAACTAACTCATGGGAAATTAACTATGGTAGTAGTAAATCTTAACAGAGGTGCTCTTAATTACCATAGCTGTCAGACTGTTAAGAAGAAGGTAGAGACGAATATTCTAATAGATCGAAATGAGATAAGAACACGGCAGTAAAATAGTTACGTTAGGGTCGAGAAAAGAGTCGAGCATTTTAAATAAGTACGTTTACGCCATCAATCAGCCAACAAGATTTTTTTTTATTATAAAAAGCCTCGAGAAATTAAAAAACTAACCATCCAACCGTTTCTATACAGACGAAGCGAGACGTAACAGATGCTTCTTCTTCTACGGCAGCCAAGCAACGCATAACTTCTTGGGATCGTTTTTCGATTAGCATCGCGCTAATGGAAACAAAGAGGCAGCAGAAAAAAAATACCTTGACCGGGTATAATGCGACCAACTTACCGGCACACACACGAAGAGGATCTGTGCGGAGTAGGAGGAGGTTTACAAGAGGAATGATGAGATACGGGGAAGCTCTTGTATCGATTATGTTCTTCCCTTTTTTTTTGGTCATCTTTTTTTACCTGTTCGATAAATTGAAATCTTAAAGATAAGAAAAATTTGAAGAATATAAGAGGATACTTGATTATTTCAAGATATTGATTTGTTTTATTTTTCTTCTATACTTTCTTCTATAATCTACAAAATCCAGCTTAAATATTATTTTGCCTAAAAGCTATCGGCACAGCATTTACAACAATACTTGGTATATCATAAATTGACATGATTTTCCCTCAATGGTTTCGTATCTATCCATCCCAAGTTCCATTAATAGCTTTTTTATATCTTTTGTTTCAAAGATTCGAACACATATCCATCGATTTGTACTAGGTAAAGCAGCCGAAAGAATTCTACTGCGGCGACTAGTAGAAGAAGTTGATGAATTGAACCGTCCTACAGCTATATTTTTCTGAGGCTGGATTTTCTAGACGTATTTGACATCATAGGCTGGCATATGGTCCCACATCAATGTTGAACATCACTGATCTACTGCCAGGTTCATGGTCCTGGAGGGAGTACAGGAGTGCCACAGAGGTCAGCATTTTCTCCTCCACTATTCAACATCTTCAGAAGTGATATCAAGTTGACATTTAGGACTCGTTGTATGGTGCTTAACCTCAACTTCCCGATACACACAGACGATGTCTGTGTCTTCAGTCAATCGCGGAAACTAGTCATTATCGAAAGAAGACTCCAACAATCCTTGTGGAAGATGGAGACGTGGTACTGAATCTGGAAAATGCAGATTCATCCAGAAAAAAGCACGGCATTACTTTTCTCGTGAACAGGACAAAGAAGAGAACATTTATTTTAGCACCAAAGCTATACACAGGTAAGTCTGTTTTAAAAACCATTTCAGTTGCTCCGTTTTGGATGCATTTTTGTATACAGAACTAAGAAAAATATCACAGGAGAAATTCAAAGATATGGTTCATCTTAATCAGATTTGCACTTTTAAATACACCAAATTTCTCTATAAAGGTCTAATCCAAAAAGAAAAAATTTTTTCAATGAATCAAGCAAATTCGTTCCATATATTCTCTATATTTTTTTGGTTATTGTTTTTTAAATGTTATCTATTGAAATTCTTATCACCACTTTAATCTAACAGTTTTATCTAATTAAATAATATACACAATAGCGATCTAAATTTAATCTTCAGTTACGATGTTTGTTCACTTAAGGTAAATATTGTAAAAAGATAGTTGCAGCTGCTTTTGCAATTTTTATAATTGAAATTTAAACACGATAGCTTAATATTGATATGATTTGTTAAACTAACTTTAAAACGAAAAGCTTTGCAAAAAACTTTGTTAAACTGTATCACGAAGGGTCATCTATGCAATTTTGCATAGGAGTCATGTTCCCCTTTTCGTTGCCCATAATTTAGTCCAAAAATGTTTAAAGTTTAGATACTTCCTTCTTTATTAATAAATTGCAATGTAGTTTTGTAGTCTTTTTACTTGAAACCCAGAAACATACTGGTTTATGTTAGCAAATTATCTTTCTCAACCTATTTCCTTTAATTTCCTTTTGATAATAACAATTAAAAAATAATTTATAAAAATAACGCTTAGATGTAGTTTTTGTATCGTAATTTGAATATAATGACTCTAACTCTTGTTAGATGCTAATAATAATAAATTGTTACATGAAAATCTTTAACCTTAGGTGATCGACGATTAATGTCCATGAAAGATTAAACATAGACGATACGAAGTAAGAAAAAATATAGTCAATGTACTCTTGTCCAAAAACTAATTTACATTTTACAAGATTTCGTATTCTCCGTGGTATTTTTCACGTTATGCAGTGTAGGATAATTACGCGTGGTATTAAACAAATACACAGATCTTGCTTATCTACATGATTTATAATGAGAGGACGGTTATCTTGCGAACAAGAAACAAACTTTTCTTCTTATTTTCATTAAGTTATAAAAGAAACAAGGAAAACGATTCGACTGGTAATTATATGGATAAACTAAATAAATCCCTCTAATACCTAGATTGAGGTGGAACGTCAGATAAAGTAGCTCTAATCCTTCATTAAACTTACCAGAACGAATTTAAATAACTCATTTTTTTAGCATTTAGTCAACAACATTTTAATAATGTCACATTTTTGTGAAAACAAAAACGTACAACTTACTCCACAGAAAACACTTAAACACAATTTAAAATTATTCTTATAAGTCCATTTCAAACAATTTTATCTATCTAATAAAATAAGAGAAATATAACAGAGACTTTTACTTGACGATAACACGACTGCAACTGACTTATCTACTACCCCCTTCATGTGTTATGCAAGAGCCAACTGTTGTACTATCGTTTTCCCATCGTGGCCACCGGCTGCTATCAAATTTATTAAAAAAATTCCACAAACGTTTACATTACATTTTGCAAAATCAATAGTGGAAGATCTTACTTAGTTTAGTTGATTATTTACTCATGGTTAATTCTAATTGACACCAATATCAAGAACGGTAATCAGATCCTCGATTGCGAACGAAAGTCGGTCAAACCGACGTTTCCTGGCAAACCGGCGGTACACCGCACACGTCTCCAATTACATTTTAAAAGGAATTAACAAGGATTTTGTATCAATCAGCACCTCGATATTTTTAAAAACGTAAACTTGTTTAAAACATAATCCGTTCGATTCATTCATTTCATTCATTCATCCATCGGTTACCTACGCATCCGATTGTTCCGTCGACCTTATAATAAAAGAAAACGAAGGGAACACATAAAAAAAGTGCAACAGTTGTTCCAACACGTAGATTATAAAATGAGGGGAAAATAAGGATGGATATCGAATTTCGCGGACAGAATAAATTGGTAACACGAGATTGTTAGAGCTGGGTAATGTTGCTATTGTTAGATGGTTTTTCTTTATTCCCGTATTCTTTTTGATGTTTATAAAATCTGCCCTATTATAACTCATGTGAAAAATGAGAGGGAAAAAATATTTAAAAGAAAATAATTAAATGTACTTATTAGAAATTGAAAATTTTAAAAATAAAATATCTGACCTTATCCTCTGACAGATTCCGGTTGGATAAATTAGAGATGAATCATTTTCTAAGAGCTTGAATCTTTAGTGAAAAAAAAAGATAAATTAGAATGAATCAACATTACTAATAAATAATTTAAGATTGAATTATGCCGGAAAATTTGAGTGTTTAGAAATAATAATTCTTAGGAAAAATTATTAAGTATGCCTCATGATGGCAGCTTCATTACCTTAAAAAATTCCATTCCTCCAATCACTAATTTGCTATGAGGTTAATTAATACTGTGATACATGGAATTGTGTAATTGTTCTGATAATGTTAAGAAAACTTGCGGTGATAATCTTGAAAAAGCATGATGTAATGATGATTTGTAGTCAAAACTAAGCTATTCATCTCTTTGGTGCTACCGTGATAGGAGAGTATCGCATCAACGTAGATGAAGAAATTTCAACGATCAGAAACAAATTCCTAAATCTAAGGTTATTTCCGATGATGCTTGAAATATGATTCCTAGTAGGTCGGTGTTGCCAATACTAAAAAAATAAAGTTAGTTGTTTTTGAAATCAACCCTTCATGTATTAATGTAACCCTCGAAGCGCAGTCTAGCTTCCACAACAACTGTGAGTTTAATTAAAAAACGATATGTCGCTCAGCGAAACATTAAACACTTTTATCTCTGCAAAATAACTTAATAATGTTATAATTATATAATTATATAAATATATAATTATAATTAATAACTAATGTTATAAATTCTTTGATTTTATTAAGAAAGATATTTCAAAAATCTTCGATCATCAATCAACAAGACATAAATTTAATAGTATATATTTCAGATATGATGTTTCTTTTTGGAGAGTCTTATAAGAGTGTGTAAAGATTAAGACGGATCGGCTAAGGTATGGTAACACTGACAGAAGAGGCCCTGGTCCTCCAAGTAGGGGCTTGATCGTTGGGCCGACACCCCGACATCGTAAAAAAAGTTATTGTTACGAAAGCCACAGAAAGGAAAGCCGGACGGTACCTAAAACGACGACCCTGTAAACGAAATAAGCACATACGAATTGGAACTTGGAATGTTAGAATGCTGCACTAAGAAGCCTTCTGGCCACACTAGAGAAATATAATATGTATGGCAGGAACACAAGATGCCACAAAAATGGAATATTATTAATATGCCTGTACACAAGAATGGATATGTATACGATAGAGGAATATCTTTGTTAAATACGGCATACAAGGTCCTGTCGGTAATATTTAACAAATGATTGATACCCTACGTGGAAAACACACTGGGCTCCTATCAAAAGGGATTCATAAAGAATTGCTCGACAATTGATCATATTTCGTCTATAGGACAGATACTTGAAAAGACATATAAATTTGATATTAACTGCCATCATATTTTTGTAAACTTCAAAAAGGCAAACGGAATTCGAGATGCCAGGCTCTTTGAGAGAGATGGCCAAACCATGGAAAATGTCCAATGTGTAATCAGAGCTCAAGGACAACTGTCAAAACCTTTCAACATGAGCAGAGTATTAAGACAAGGAGATGCCTTGTCTTGTCATCTATTTAACCTTGCCCTTGAAAAGGTGATACGTGAATCACAGGTGAACCTCAGTGGGACGATATATACGAAGAGTGTACAGATAATCGCAGCAATACCTAAAGGAGTAATACCCAACACGGACAACGGAGAAGACGATAAAACTTCGAATTATATGAGGCATACAACGACATGAACATGGTAAAATTTATCAAAATCAACTGCTTGAGATGGGTGGGTCATGTAATGAGAATGGAGGAAGATGAACCCACAAGAATAGCAATATTGAACAGACCGGTCGGAATCAGAAGACGATGGAGACAGAAACTGAAATACCTAGAGAGTAGTAGAAGAGGATTTAAAACTAATGGGCAATAAGAACATGGCGAAGAAGGGCGAGAGACAGGGAAGACTGGAAGGAAATTCTGAGGCAAGCCAGGGCCCAGGGCTATAGAGCCAGAGAAGAAAGATTAAGACATGAAAAACATTTTAAGTTTAATGGTGACCTCTCTGTATAAAAAGTTGAAATAGTAATTTATAATTTCTAAAGTAGTTATAATACGATAGTCGATAACAATCATTAAAAAACAAAAAAAAGGAAAAATTGAATTGAATATAACAATTCCTTCCGTAACTTTCAATCAAAATAGAAAACTAAATAAAGTTAAAAATAGAAACCTGCTTAGGAGATAACGTTACCTGAGTTGCATAAAACTAAGGAACATTAAAAACGATACAAAGAGAAAAATATTAAATATATATATTTTCCTTTAATCAAAAAAAAATCTGAAAACCCAACCCATTAATTACATCCTCAATTTATCACATTTCCTGTTAAACATTTGGATATGGAGCAATTTTAATACAATTACTTCCATCGTCGCTTAAAGTAATCCCAATTTCATTCAATGTTTCGCTATCCACAACGCCTAATTTTGTAATAGAAGAAATCGCTTTTTGATTTTCCAAGTTATTCTCGCACAAATTCCTTAAAGCGTAAACGATCCATTGAATAATTAAAGGATTTCTTGCGTCCATATTGCAACAGTCTAAAAGTAAGGGTATTCCTTCGAGTTCGCGGACTTCGTGTTGATTGCCAATATGTTTCCAACACATATTTCCAATTAATCGTATAAGGGATGCTTTAAAACCAAAAGCAGGGTGCAAAGTAATGTCAGCTTTATTACCGGAGATTGTTAAATCTGATAATTTTGACATCATAGTGAAGTTATTATCAGGTTGTTTACTAACTTCGTGGATACTTTTTAATAAAAATATGCAAGTAATTAATAAACTTTTATCGCTTTGGATTAATGGTAAATATGTGTCATTACTTGAAATAATTGCGAGATCGTCTAAAAGTAATGTAACTTCGATTGGTTCAATTTTATCAACATAATCAGCAATCGTTTTTAAGATACAATCGGATTTTACTTTAAATTCATTGGATAATGTCTGGATTAAATTAATGTTTACATCAACTCTACTTTCTTGCAATAAATCTTTTAACATAGTTAGAAATAATATTCTATGTTCTGTATCATACGAAACATAGCTAATATTTAAATCTTTGTTTTTAACAAATAATTCCAATAAGAAATGCAAATATTCGTTGCTTTCGTAGTCCTTATACACATCAAATATGCTTCTTAATATTAATTCATTGTCTTTAAGCATTGTTACAGCTGTGTATAGCATATTGTAAGCTAGAGCTGATGAAAAATATGAGTAATTTTTATCAGATATAAAGTCCCCAATAAATTCTTTAAATTTGTTCCAAACCAAACGTGAAGATTCTTGATTCTTTACCACCAAGTTATTGAGAAATTGTAATAAAACCGAGATGCAACTAATGATGTAAGGCTCATTGATAGCGCGATATAATTCACAAAAGGTATGAGTATCATTCAGAATTGATTCATTTGACGTTATCCAATTTTGTGATGACTGATTTCCAACTGTAGCGTTTCTCAATGCTTTAAAAATATGTTCTATTAAGAGAATTACATTTTCATCTAAAGTTTCCGATATTAAACCAATGGATTTATTTAATAATTCACCTAAACATGTTATCATTTCTTCAGATATAACAGTTCTGAAATTGTTATAAAACGTGTTCATAAAAAATAAGTAATTTTTTATTGCAAATTGTAATAAACTTACAGCTTCGAATTTATGACTGTCAATTTGAATGTTTCCCTTACTAATTCTATCAGGAACGAATACTCATTCCTTTCTAAATATTCAGTGGCAATTTTCTTAAATTCTTCGTCTTTCATTTTTGTTTCTTTATGATTTTTAAACTAAATTTTGATTTAAATGTGAACGTGTTTGGTGTTGCTTGATGTCACTTGAAAATTTTGGGTTATGTTTGTGTTTCAGGGTTGACAACGTTAAATAAATAAGAGAATTATAAACCAATTTGTCTTTAAATGACAATTTTAATTTATTTTTTTAAAACAATTATTAAATTAACATGAACACAAATTAATTATTGTAATAAAACAGATATAATAAAATAAAGAAAAGATTTATTAATATTTATACAATATCTAGGGAATTTTTATATTGCAACGCTGACTGTTAAAATTTTGACAATTTTTATCTCCAGATCATAACACAAGCAACTTTTCGATTCCCTTCAAATAATAAAGGTAATTTTTATTCGTTTATAGATTAAATTAGGCTCAAACTAATTTTATAAAACTTTGGTAATAATAAAACAATCAAAATGTTTATTTCATTTACTTAAATGCGCTTACATTATGTTATGCAGTGTCATGAACCGGTACATAACCTCACTTTTTTCTTTTATAGATGTTTTTAACAAGGAGCGAATACGATAGAGGGGTAAATACCTTTTCTCCTGAAGGCCGTCTCTTTCAAGTTGAATATGCAATAGAAGCCATTAAATTAGGTTCCACAGCAATCGGAATATGCACAAGCGAAGGGGTTGTTTTGGCAGTTGAAAAACGTATAACTTCTCCTTTAATGGAGAGCACAACTATTGAAAAAATTGTGGAAATTGATAAACATATTGGATGTGCTGTTTCTGGGTTAATGGCTGATTCAAGAACAATGATTGATAGGTACTTTATTTATTTTTTTAATTTTGATTATTCCTTACTTATTAAATGTTTAGAGCCAGGGTAGAATGTCAAAATCATTGGTTTATCTACAATGAAAGCATGAGTGTTGAGTCTTGTGCTCAAGCAGTCTCAAATCTAGCGATTCAATTTGGTGATTCAGATGATGATGGGGCTGCGATGTCACGTCCGTTTGGTGTGGCTATATTATTTGCGGGAATCGATGAAAAAGGGCCCCAACTGTATCATATGGATCCATCAGGAACATTTGTTGAATTCGACGCCAAAGCTATTGGTTCAGGCTCAGAAGGCGCTCAGCAGAGCTTACAAGAAATGTATCATCGCAGTATGACTTTGTCAGAAGCTACTATTGCTTCTTTGACCATTTTAAAACAAGTCATGGAAGAAAAACTTAATTCGTCGAATGTTGAGGTGATGACTATGACGCCTGATAAAATGTTTCATATGTTTACTAAAGAACAGGTGGAGGAGGTAATTAAAAATATTGCTTAGTAATCTTTTTTTTATTGTGTGCTTTTTGAATAAGATTAAATTGATTAATAAATGAGGATTTTGAAATGGTTTTTGTTTACACAAAAGTTCCTGAAATATTCCTTAATTTTATACAATCCTAACAGATTCCTTTTTTTTTTTTTTTGTTGTTGATTTCAAAACATTAGGCTCCCTCTTTATTCTAGAGGAAGAAGTAAGTTGGATGATTAAATTATTTAAATTTTTTTTTTATATAAAATTGCAATTTTTATAATGTTAAATATCCTTTTGAGTACTTGTTTGAATTATTAAGTTATATAATTTTCAACTTAATGAATTATATTGGTATGAAATTTAGCTTAAATTTTGTTTGAGAATTAATACATATTTCTATTCTGTTTTATAGTGTTTGAAGGGTGTAGCTACGAAAGATAGTTCAAAAGGTGATCTACCGACAGGTGCCGGAGCTGTTCCAGTTAAATAATAAGTTTATTTCATTTAATAATATTTATTTTTATTTCCGAAATATTGTTAATTTAAAAATATTTCAAAACAGTACATTGTTTTAATAAATGTGATACTTTCAAAATGTTACACTTCCATTTATCGACTTTAAGTGGTATTTCTTAGGAATTGCATTAATATAAAATATTAATGTTATTCGTAATATTATCACGCACCGGATGCACCTTGGGTTTATAGATAACGAAATTAATCACCAAGAGGATATTAATACGTACATTTAATACGTTTACTTATTATTCTGACATTCCTCATTTTCGTAGTAGGAAATACATATTTATCAACCTAAAATGTAAAAATAGAATTAGAAGAAGATTAAAATTAGTGAAATTAGTAGAAGATTCAATCATTTCATACTCAAAATACTAATATTTCCAATTGTATGTACTGTACAGAATGGTTCAAATTCGATGTCCGCATAGGCTATCTCGGAAACTATAAAAGTTAGAAAAAAAGTCTCGATCTCTTTTTTTACATAAATTCCAATGTCGAAAACGTTAAAGCGCTATCGTCTTTTGTATTTCCCCTAGAGGCCAAAATTGAAAATATCGAAAAACCAGCAAATGTAATTATCTTGGTTATTACTATAGGTGGAGTATTATAACTAAGACATTATATGGACACTTTTTTTACAGAAAATTTGATGACGTAGTCAAATAATTTTTTCAGGTTTATATTTTGAGATATGCTAATTTTCGTTTTTTTAAATGGAAACAACCACTGATTATTCGCTTATTAAATTCGTTATTTTTTTCTGATTACAAAAATATAGGTTTCGACAGGTCTATTTCTTACTGTTTTAGAATAAATCTAAAAATAAACTTTCTTTTATAAAATTTCTAAGTGCCCCGCCGCCGAAATCTAGTGTCGTTGAAAAAATGAAATTTACAGTTTCCTGTAAATTAAGGGGCGGTATTTAAATTACGGGGTATTATTTTTCCGGTATTTAAAAACAAATAATTATATTTATTACACTAACTGTTAATACGGAAATATTTAATAGATTGCATTGTTCTGGACTGGAGAAATATGTTTTTTAATTTTTAGTTATAGTACCGTAATTTACAGGAAACTGTAAATTTAATTTCTTCGACGACACTAAAAAAAAGGTTATTTTTAGCTTTATTCTAAAACAATAAGAAATAATCAACAATAATAAGCGAATAATCAGTGGTTGTTTCCATTTAAAAAAACCAAAAATTGTCATAATATCTCAAAATCTAACACCGAAAAAATTTTTGCTTGCTGGTTTTACGATATTTTCAATTTCAATTCAGGGGAAAAACAAAACACGATAGCGCTTTGAGGTTTTCGACATTGGAATTTATTTAAAAAAAGAGATCGAGACATATAAGCTACTTTTTTTCTAACTCTTATAGTTTCCGAGATAGCCTATTCGGACATCGAATTTGATCCAGCCTGTACATGGACACTTTATTTATGTCGAGTCTGGAAATGCTAGCAGACCTTGTTAAAACCGGAAGACCTCAGTGTAGTTGCAGGTATCTAGTTCTAAATAGAAAGGAGGAATAAAAGAACGGCAAGTGTTGAAGCAAAATCATAAAACTATTGAAATTTTGGCCGGGGCTGGGGAGAATATCCCATTGGAAGCTTAATAAAAATATAACCCAATATTGTCTAACAGAGATCCAGGATTGCTTCATCAGTTGGAAAGCTGTTTGCAGAACGTAAAATATGATACCTTTCATTGCAATTCAAGATTTATCAACTACTCGACTAGTTGCGAAGTGCACACTAACACATAGCATGGTGGCCAATACACAACATACCAAAAAAGTTCTTTATTATAAATATAGTCTCCACAACGTAGAGTATTGCTTGTAGTGTGGAATAGATGATCCATACTACAAGTATGGCTTGTAGCGCAAACACATTTAAAAATAATTTTATAATTCGGAAAACAATAAAACCACAAAATCTATTTAAATATAATTTAAATATAGATAGTTATACACTACATAAATAATAGTGTTTATTAATTTCGAGAATAGAAACCACCGACCACTCCACCACTAATTAAATTTTACATTATATCATTTTTATTTAATGTTATCGAAAAGTAGATAAGTACATTCATTCTCAGGTCCGCAAATAATTCCAAACGATTTACGTAATTATCTTTACCGGTAAACATTACACTCATTTCTAATTGCCGCCTGACTACTTGATTACCAAGATAAGACGTTTATAATAAGTAATAAAAAACTTAAAACAACTGTATTAGTCACAAATTTTTTATTGTTTGATTGATATAAGTTCGTGTAAATCCAACGCCATTTCTTAGTAGCACACAAACACTATTCACCAAGCAACGAATTTTCGTTCCATTGGTGGGGTCCCCTACTTAAAAAAATAATAAGAACACCAACGTCTGGATTGCAACAGTTTCGTGTTTGCACGGTCAGTGAACGTTTACAGGTAAAAATTCACTTCTTCGTTGTATAGAAGGTTGACTGCCTTTAGTTGGGTTTACCTGTTGCACAGAAGTTTAACCTTCAGATGATTGGAGGAGAGAGGAATTTTTCGTCAGTCGATTGTGTGTGTGTATAGTAAACTCAGTAGTCATATTAGTTGACTTCGTGAACGACGTGTAGAACTTTCTAAATATTTACCACTTGAGTAAATAGATAAAAAGTGCAAGTAAAAATATAAATATTGATATTGTTTAAACTACTTAAAATAGATTTCATATATCTTCTGACATTTATTCTTCAAAATGTTCAACAACCAAACTGGCATATACTCAATTGATACTGGAATGTGTTATGTGAGTACAAATTTTTATATTTTTTTCTATAATAATAACTAATGCCCACTTTTACAATTTACTCGTTAAATGTATTTAATCCAGTTGTTAGCCAATAAGAGGACTCAGAATGGTGACAATTCCTTGGTTTGTTTAATAGGAAGATTCAAATTGGTCTTATTGTTAGTTGGAGTATATAAGTTACAACGAGAACTTTTAACAATAATTAAAAGTACAAAATGAACTGAAATTATAAACAATAGATTTTTTTGCAGTTTAATTTTCTTCAATTCATTTAAGTAAATTCTATTGTACGTTGTCGCTTAATTACGGTTTAGGCATTGTAATCCGCTTATATAACACATTGTTTAAAAGTTTTTTTTAGTTGCGTAGGATTTTGTGAGTCACGGTAATGTTATATGCAAATTATTTTTTTATGGAAATGTTGTATATTCATTGATAAATATGATAAAGACCCCACATGGGGTTATTATTAACAATATTACTCATTCGTATTGGTTAATAATTTTCTTGGTAGGATATTAATAACGAAATCATAAACAATATTGGAGACAACTAACAAATTAATCATTTTGAACAATCCAATTTCAAAAAAAAAATAAGTGATTACAACAATTCTTAGATTTTTTTGATACATTTTCAATCATCAGGCTTATGTAAAGAATGCAATAAACCATGAATCATTTTTATTGCTGCTCTCATTCTTAAAATGATACGTTTCGTTAATCTGTGGTTATTAAGATATTATAGAATCCATAATACTAAGAGTTATCTATTAAAAAAACTTAATTTTTAATAGATTATGGTTATTATTTAATTTTTTGAGTTAAAGCATTTCTGTTATCTTAAAAAAGATTAAGAACTGTTACATATATTAGACATTGTAAACATTGTAAACTTGTTTGTTTAGGCTACACAAACATTAAAATCTTATATACTTTTTTGCTTATTTAACCACGTTGTTTTCAAAATAATTTAATCCTGCTAAAAACAACTTTTATCGTATTTAATCAAACTGCTTTATATACTTTTCTAAATATAACCTAACATACCTCATGAGCAACATTTATTGAATTAATGAGTTTTCATTGATATAAAGAACTTTGTACACTGAATTAGTAAATCTTTGTATTGAAACAACGAACACGTTAATGAGTAATTAAATTTAGGTTTTCCACACAAATTTTATTTTTTGTTTATATTGTCCGTATTGTAAATCTTTCGAAAATGACAACTCGTGTGAGATATTTTCAACAAAATCGAATTTTGAAAGATACGAGGGATTACAGAATGCAACATGTAATGCAGCCTGAGAGATTAGAGTGGATTACAAACTTTAACAGAGTGATCAATACAGACAATATTTATGTCTCTCTCTTCCACGACTCGGGGATTATAGTTGTAGATTATAGAGTTTTTTTTTATAACAGAAATAACATTGCATTCATTTCATGTCTCAAGTAATTCGCATCTTCCTCTTCTTTCGACTAGGGATGTATCCCTGTTTGTCAAGCCTCATTTTACTCCGACGACGAGGAGAACCATCTCTTGCTCATTCGCATCTCAATACTATCTATATCTCAATGTAACTCTGAACAAGCTAGCTGTACTTTAATGGGAACATTGACTTAATCGAGAGAAAAATGTTTTTTCGCTTATTTGGTCCAACAATTCGGTTAATCGGTCCACCTTGATAAAGGCGCTATCTGCAGGACGTTTTAGGGTTGTACTTTAATAATGTCATCACTTTAATTTAACTTTGACTTTAATCAAAATGCCACGCAAAGATTTAACATTACAGGAAAAACTCGTATGATTCAACAAATTAAAAATCGAGTGGTTTAGTATCCCATATTCGTTCAGCTGCGGAATTTGTAGTAATTCACAGTCATAATTACATTCTTGCTATTTTATATCCAACGTTGTTTGGAAGTTTGCGCCAAAATCGTTATTTAGCGACCATTTCTTCTTTATTAATCTTACCATATATTGAAGTTATTGGGAACTGAGATTGATCATAAAAAATACTCTTTTCATTTTTGCTGATTGAATAATAAAGTAATTAATGAATACCAAAGTCCCTGTGTATGCTGTTTTTTTTTAATTAGTAAACTTTTTGTATGAAAATTGTAACGTATTCAAATTCTAGAGCATAGTAAAATTGTCGGTTTAAGAAGTACACAAATATCTGTCCTCATTCATAGTTCGTTGAGCTCATTCACCTTATGAATGAATTAATGGTTGATCCACTTAAGGACCGCTGTAGCCATGTAAAGTGAAGCGGCTGTGCAATAAAAGGGCGCCATCTGCACGCGGCCAATTATCTAATTAGTGTCACCGTGAATCATTGCATTAAACTCTCAAAAGATCAATGAAACGGTTATCAAATTAATATCAATTTATAAACCATTTTATTAGGATTTGGTTCTTATCATCAATAAATGTTTAATAAGCATTAACAGTTACAAGGATTCATTTATACTAAATTTTTGAAATTTCTATATAGGTGTGCTTATCTTATCAAGAAAATATCAGTGTTATAAGTATCAGTATAATATTTTGTATTATTTTTTGAATTTGAACGTCGCGTGTTCGGTAGTAATTTATTATGTCCTCGGAAATAATTACAAAGTTATATGTTTTGAAACAAAAATGTTAATAGATTCATAGGTAAGTCAACTATTTATTTACAAATTACTTTTCTGTATTTAATGAATAAACTAAAAATTTATTTATTTACTTTAATTGGTATTTGTAAATATGCAAAAAATAGAATTGCCTTCCGGTTATGGTTCGGTTGACTCGTAGCTTAGAAATCTTCACGTGCGATGAGTCATTCCTTGAAGTTTTCACCTGAACGTGTCGTGAAGTCAGATTCCTTGAAAACACATCTGATTAATCGGTGGAAGGTTAAGGTTATTTAATAATGGATATCCTGAACCTTGAAAATTCCAATTTTTTTTGCTTTTTTAAATAATTCTTGAGAAATAACTCAGAATGGTAGGTTTTAAGTCAGAATTGGATTTTAAACAGGTTTTATCGATTAAAAGAAATAACCAAGAATTCCGAAATAGTTCTTTTTAACTATTTAGTATAAATAACAAATTGTTCTCAAATGAGGTATTATCAATAGAGGGTTTTTTTATGAATCAACAGATACCCAACTATATGTCTATTACACATGTTTCATTTTACCTTAATCTTTGTTTTTTTTTCATATAAAATGAGTGTACAGGATCAATCAAAAGTAGATGATGTCACTAAAGAATTATTTTATTGGTGTCATTTTTAATTTACTTGAACTAGATTTTATAAAATCACTATTTAATATAGCAGTCTGGTCTGGCACTTATCACTTAAAGTATTTATTATAATCGATTCTACATGAATAATAAGACCAAAATAATAATTGTTAAGTATTTTATCGTAATTTTTTAGTAACCATTCTTTTTAAAATAAATAGAAAGTGAATCATGCTTTGTTTTTTCCAAAAATCTTTATAGGTATAGTTTTTTACAAGATAAGATAGTAAATAATTTAAATGATACATCTCATCTTTGATTTTGATATGAGTCAACAAAAAATCCTATTCACTATAATAAAGATTGTTTTTATCGAGAAAAAAATGAAATTTTAAATATATTTGTCAAGCTAAAAATACAAAACTTGCAATATCAACCCGTAATTTTCCAAAAAAATTACTCCATAAAAATGGTAATTTACTTGGGAAAATTAATGTGAATAATAATGATGACGGTAATCGCGATATACTTTTATTCGATTCTGCGCAATTGGGAGTTTGTGGTTGGGATTGACCATGAATAATTCCTAATCTACAAGAAAGTTTTAGTTCGCTTTAAACTATTATAATTTACTTTCCATAATGTTCAAGATTGCAAGTGGTGTCCAGAAAGTTTTCGAGTATCTTTTCTGTAAAGTAAGTCAAAAAATGATGTAGTCTATATTTAACTTTTCACATTTGTAACTTGTTAATTTGTGAGTGAGATGGTGTTTTTAGATTGTGATCCGTGCTTGGAGGAGAAGTTTATCTTGAACAGAATGCTATTCCAAGATTCCTACCTCTTTGTGGCTACACATTTGTATACAATATATCTCATAAATACAATCCCAGTTGTAGCACGTGTGGGACAATGGTTTATTTACCCTTCGACACACACGGTTCATGTATATGTTATCGTCTTCAATCTTACGGTTATATTCCACCTCTAAAATATGTAATTTTAGACAGGGTGGGGTTATCTCGATTTTGATTTGAATATAATTTGTTTTTGGTCATAAATTTTTATTCCAAATATATATTTTTGTATAAATCATCTCTATTGTGTACCACGGTCCTTAATAATATCAACAACTCTCTGTGGTCCCCTCTTCATTGACTGCACTTTCAGCCTGGTTCGCTTGGCCCTCCGACCGAAAACCCACTTCACCCAAGAGAAGTTAATTTGCTCTTCCGCGGGCAACAGCAGCTACACGCTACGGGCCACCCATTAAAATTTAAAAGCGAGTTAGTGTGTGCTCTTTAGTGCATCTATTCGTCATTTATGCCTACTAAAAAAAGTTCTTAACAAAATTTTTCGGATTTGTTTGAAGTAATTTTGGTTTTTGTGTTTATTTAGTGATCATAATGGCTTTAAAAATGAAGGTAATTAATTAAATTTATTTCAATAAGCTTGTTTAGTAACTGAAACTGTTTAGAAATTTAATATCGTGCGACTTTAGAAGTAAGCTCTTTAAAAATAATTGCATAAAACATGAGATACGGTAAAATTATGATGATTCAGTTAAGAAATGCAAGGACGAATATGATATATAACAATTAATAATTTTATTTTATATCTTCATAAATTCAGATTCTAAAATATAAAAATTTTTTGATACATTACCAATTTTACGATTTTTCCTTTTATATTCAAGTTTATGATCCAGTCTTATCCATTGATGTTTGAACTGATCTATCCAATGCTATAACTGAGAGGCAAACATACATTGTCCCATTAATATATCACGTGTCGTTTTTATGAGGATCTCAACTAAAATCCCCGGTGCCATCTGTTCGAAATTATAGCGGTTCGCCCTTATTTTCTCTCCTCTCTTTGTAGACTGAAGCTTTGAAATTAGAAGCGTCACGTCAACGAATTGAGGCCTACTTAATGACTATTGGGGGGATTCTACAACCAGCTGGCGCTTTTGTGTAGTAGGTCCTTGTATTTATAATTCAACAGGTGTTAGTACGAAATTATTACAAAAGTAAATTTATTAAGTAAATTTTAAGATTACCAAGAATTTTTCATTTTAGGGTTTAATTTGCCTAAATGTTTAATTTTAGTGAAAGCAAAATGGATCTATAAAAAGAATCGTTTAAAAGAACATTTTGTAGGAGTCATTAAATGATAGGGGGAACGTTTTTGGTTGTAGACGTTTAACAATATGTAATGGGACTTAAATTATAGTTAAAATGTTTTAATGGGAATACTTTTGAGGCATTTTATTATTTATTCATGATGACAAACAATTTCTATATTATAAGATAAATCACTACACTGAAACAAAATAAAAATAATACAACTCATTTATTTTGTTCATTGCAAGTCAGCACATCAGTTTCAAACGTACATCGGTTAGTGTCAGGTTACTGTAATGCACTCATGTTATTATCGGGATCATTTAACCAACCCAAGTTGTACTCTTCTAAAGGTAGGATTTAGATATGTAAAATAACACTTAATTTGAACACAAATTTAAAAAAAAAAAACATCTGGTTCCTGTTGATATTAAAAAGTTAAACTAAGAGGGTAGCTAAGTTATTTTCGCACCAAACCCGAAATATAAACTAAATCAACACTGCTAACGTAATTGTTTATATTTCAAACCCTCCTCAAAGAAAATCCTTCATGGCTTTAAAGTTAAAATTAATTTATAAGTTTATGACACTCTTAAAATTCCTAGCATAGTTAGTGTTGGAGTCTTATTTATTTGATTGCTTGACAAACAAATTCCCGCCAGAACAATGTTTATAAACCAACATAAGCCGAGATAACGAGAGAGTAAAAATTGACATAAACATATTGATATTGATATTTTAAAAAATTTCGATTTTTTTAATATCTTTAAAAATCAGTTGCTGTTTGGTTAATATAACGTTATCTGTTTATACTCGTGCGTTATTTTTTTGAATAACTAGATAAACGTTTTACCAAAGATTAGGTACAGTATAGTAAACAAACAAATTGCTTAATGTTCTAGCAGTGTTGTTAAATACCCGGGTAGTTATTTTCAAAGGTAAATGTCCTGGATATAAAATTTAATTTAAATTGAGTTGATGGCAGTTTTGCAAGCACTTCAAGAATGCAGAGTCGATTATCGACACACCAAACTTATTAATAACATCCACAAGAATGCTACAATGACGATAAAATTGCATAAAAGTACTGAAGAGAGTAAAAGTAGTAAAGTACTGATTGTGAGTAAAACAAGGCAATACAACGTTGAATCCAAATTGTTCATCACAGTCCTGGAGAATGCATTTAAACAACTGGATTGGACCTTAATTGTACCAATCGTAATTGGACCTTGTACGCTAATGTACCAATCTTGACAGTAACTTCTTAATATTATATATACAGGAAATTTATGGCCCATTTCTTAACTTTACAAAGAATAGTGGTCACCATAAATTATCAAATAAATGTAGTTCTATGTTTTGTCAGAAGAGTGTAATAGATTCGATTTTATCTAGGTTTCTAATTGAACACACTGTATACAATTTTCGACGATTTACGATTTATAAATTCATTGAATAATATTACACCCAATTTTTCTCATTTTTAGTTCTTTAATAAGAAATTCTTCAATGCGGGTAAAAGACCCGTATTATTATTAAATGTTAATTTAGATAAATCTTATAATCATCGCCTTGATATAGGCAACTCACATAACGTCCACATAATCAAATTTAATATTTCGTATCTTATAATTTAATTCGTACGACTAACTATGTATAAAAAAAAAATAGTATTATGTATTAATGTAAATGTAATAAATACATAAAATAATAATATTTTTGTTATCTTTTCAGGATAATAAAATAATGACGAGTTCAGTGACATCTATCGGACCGATTGAAGAGTCCACACGATTGGCTACAGCTGATTGCCGTCAAACATACAACGTCAAACGAAACTTGTTAAAACCTACAGTAGCAGTCTTTACAAACACTTTAGTAATTATTATTGGTAAGTTTCCGGTACTTAACATTATCACTTACGATAGTTTACGTTTAGGAACGTTTAAGTAAAGGCAAACTTAATTTTTGTTTTGTTGAATATACCGTTGTTAAACAGCGGTACTAAACTCAAAGTTTCTTTAATTTCAACCTACTTTAATGGGTTTTTGAAACTTTAGGAATGAACTTCAAATTAAAAAAGAACGTTATAATCGTGTATATATTTTATTAAAATATAGTTGGCATCCTGAAATTTGACACATTAAGCTGTCATTGTCACTTATGACAGGTATCTATGATTTTTTTGATCTTTGAATATAATTGATGTAAATTTAGAAACGTGTTAAAACGTTCAATAATATTCAAAAGTACCTAAGATAAGATAAAATTTTGATAGCACGTAATTTTCATCTAAACACGACCATTTATTCGACTTAAAACTATTAACTGACAATAAAACAAGTAACAAGTAAAGTTAATCGTGTGACTAAACGAAAAATCGTGTAATTCAAATATTCATTGCACTTAGCCTATATAAACACAATTACAACAAATTATAATTCGTATTTTTGAATTAGGAAGAACGTGCATTTCAAAACGTTTAATTTATAGTTAAATATCAACTATGTCGAATCGACGACTGTCATTATCCTTCAGTAAGTCGACTATACACTGAAAAAAATCACCTAAAATGATCCCAATTCTTTCTTTCAGTGGGCCTTTTACTTGCCTTTATCGAATTCGATGTCATTCCTACCAACAAATTCGGATACTATTGCGGCGATCCGGCTCTATCGTACCAATTTGAAGGGGACACAATCACCGCGCTTGTTTTGATCTTAGGCTCGTTTTTAGGGCCGCTTATCGTGATTATAGCGATCGAGTATCGACATACGAGAAAGGCCGAATCGATTCGGTTAATATGGTTATGGTACAAGGACATGCTTATTGGAGTTGTTACGACTTTGATGGTTACGGAAGTTATGAAGGCGATTGTCGGTGCACCTAGACCTCATTTCCTATCAACTTGCAAACCGCAAACTAAAGAGGAATGTGTTAATGGAACGTTTGTAAGAGACTTTGAATGCCAAGGAACTGGGTATTCATCTTATGTTGTCGGGGATTCTTCAAGATCATTTCCATCTGGACATACGTCTATTTCAGTGTTTGCTTCTATTTTTTGTGTGGTAAGTAGCAAGAACTGAAATGTAAAATAAAATGAAGCAATGTGTTTTATTTTTTGGTGACGCATTTACATGCAAAGATTTAGTAATGTGTATATTTAAGGAGTGGTGTTGGAATATGCGTTTTTTATTGTGAATTTACTCATGATAATTGTCGCAATCCATGTTATCAAAATTTCAATGATGTCAGGGGTTAATATCCTAGTCTGGATTCTTTAAAATATAACTGTTTGTTATATTTATCTGATTATATTAAATTTTACATAAACTGTTTATATATATTTTTTTTGTTGAGATTATAATGAATGAAATTGGTATTTTTCCTTTTTGACCTAGATTTACTAATCTAGAAATCCAGTGTTTGTGTGGAGTTTTTCTCGTACACAAAAGCGGCTTTAATTCTGAGGAGACACAATGTCAGAAACGCGTTTTCATCGCAAATGCGGTCCTAGTGCGTGCGAAATACGGAAATGAAAACTCTCGGTCGCTCATTTGTATGTTGCGCTTTCATTTTGCTCCTCTTTTTTTTAAAGCTTTTTTGCAGATAAATAATAGCGCATTTTAATTTTGTTCGTTTATTTCAGGCACTAGTTCATTATCGCCTAAAATGGAGACGGAGCGGTCAACTTTTAAAACCGTTCCTAATGTTGGCGTTTTTGTCGTGGGCGGCAGTTTGCGGATTGACTAGGATAACGGATAGAAGACATCATTGGTGGGACGTTTTGGCCGGTACAATTTTAGGTGCAATCGGTGCCGGTTATACGATAATAGGGTTGGTGAAGCGATTCAAAGTGCCGGAAAAAAAGAATCCTCCCAAATCAATACATTCCAGATCAACGCTACTAGATGAGAAACAAGACAGGAATGTGACTTGTGTGATATAAATAAAAAGTTTATTACAATGTAGGTGACGGACAATAACTTATTTAATTTGATGTGGACTTTAAAGTGTTGACAAATTAATTTTGGCATTTTACGTATGGACAGTATTTTATTGAACAAGAAAGTATAATAATACTATAACTTATAATGTAATATGTCATCATGTTAAAGTTGTATAAAGTAATAAATTATGTTTTTGATAGTAATTTAGTGATGGAGTTTTAATTTGTTTCGCGTGGACGGAGAAAAGTTTTTGCTCGGATAGGTAGATGGGTTGTAAAATTTGCAGAAGGGGCGCGGGCGCAAATATTGATCTTGGGGGTCTTAAGCGTAATTATCTGGAAAATAGCGCCTATAAGACGCCGGATTACGATCTCGGGCACGTTCAGGAAATATCGTCGTTAAGCGACAGCGCCAACCTAATGACAACCTAAATTTACCATGGTTTTTTTTTGTGAAAACTAGGAGGTTAAAAATTTTCATATAAAAACAATATTTATTATCCACAAAAATAGTTTAGACAGATAAGGAATTACTTGACAATAAGCACAACGAAGATTTACCATTATGATTTAAGACGACCATGCACACAATTCGATATCAGCACACGTTCGTTGCGGCGAATTTTGATTAAAGATCTGAAGATGTTTTCCTACAAAGTCTCCAAAAAGTGGACTTAAAAAGAGGGTTGGAACTAGATGTTGAACACAAATTATTATTTACGATGGTTGATGGAAAAATATGACAAGCCGTACTTATCTGACAGTATCAATGTGAAACGACTTTTTTCTTTGAAATAAGTTTTGGTACATTGAGGAATGAAGACGTGTATCAAGTTTACAATAACTCAGAAGAGTTATGTGCATGCTAAGTTGCCATCAAAGAAGGTGAAGAACAATGATCAAATTTTACAATAGTGTGAAATAAATAAAGTTTGTCGTATCGGTTTAGGCCACCCTAACCGAATATCGATTGTCGCATTCAGGTGTCTCCCCCGATACTCATTTAATAATAATAGCAATATAAATGCAAATCAATACGTACACAACCACGAATCGTGCTTCGAAATCAGATAAAACTTAATTGAAAACAAACAGGAAAAAAATTAAAACGAAATTTTAAATTTTACCACTACTTAATTTATTATTAAGAAACGTTCTTAACATCCATTAGAAGATGGTTAAATAAACAATTTAGGTTTATTATTATTGTTGGAAGTAAAAGTTTTCAAGAAAATTAAAACCGTTCGAATGAGTTTTTCTCTGTTTTTTTTTCACGTCGAGTGTTGAAGATTGCCTCGGGGTGGTCTAGGGGCGTTGTCGTCACCCTGAAAACTGTTCCGACCTCCGCACGTCATCGTGTCAGACAGTTCAGCGCCGCTGAGAGAGAGTATTTAACAAACCGCCGCAGCCGCCATCGACGGCGTCCCGTAATTTGTTATCCCTTTGTGCTCTACGCGACGGGAATCGATACGGACGCGCGGGGGGTGGTAAAGGGTGAGCTGCGGCGTCCCGGTCGCCGGGGGCTCAACTTTTACGAGTACCTCGGAAACCGAAAAAAATTTCGGCACACCACTGGGAACGAGAGACGCGAATTTTCTCCGTCGTTGAGTTCCGGCGGACCGACCGACGATTGCTCGAAACTTACTACGTTTCGAGATAGATTTCAACTCTCCTCGTCGTAGGAAAAGTGGGCTTAAGGGGGATTTGTGTTGAGAAAAGACGGATAATATTCTTTAAAAATTTTATATAAAATAATAAATGGTTTGGGGATTTTCGAAGAGTGTATTTTAAAGAATTGCAAATAGTATTTTTGCAAATACAATAAAGCCTCCATATAACGGACTTCGTGTATAAATGTTAGCGCTCATAGATAAAATCCAACATGAGTTATTCCCCAAGTTGCTGTATTTCATGTTTCCAGTTCTAAGTCTAGAGTTAGTTCTATATAGTACTAGTGTTAGCTCTAGTTTTAGTTGTTATTGAGAGTTAGATTGTTGTATCTTTTTATTGAACTAAAACTACAACTAACACAATACCTAGAACTAGAAACATTCCGGTTTAGCCTTACGTCTCTCAAGACGGCTAAACCCGAATGATTCCAGTTCTAAGTATAGTGTTAGTTCCAGTAACAGTGCTAGTGTAAAACTAGAACTAGAACATTCAGGTTTAAACCCAAAACTTTCTAGTTCTAGGTCTAGTGTTAGTTCTAGTTTTAATTGTTAATCAGCGCTGACGTCACGAACGGGCCTTCGAGCTGTGTACCTGTTCAAGGGATGTAACAGTCCTCTTAGATTCTACCGTCTTTGGTATAAATATAAACCGTGAGTCTACAAATTCCAATGGGTTTCAACTATAACTTTGTCCTGAATCATTGACATTGGTGTCAAGTTTTGAGTCATCAGCTCGAATACTCAAAGTAACAATCTGTTTTTATTTATTTCAGGTATTAACTACCACTACTATACTTTAAACAAATTTTGTTAAGAAAACTAAAGTTTGATTGAAATATTAGTTTATTTAAGTAATATTTTTAGTTGCAAACATAATATTTCCAGCAACTTCTTCTAATCCTTAACTATAAGCGCACGTTATCCATCATCTGGGTAATTCTGTTGATTTATGGAACGACGAGGCTCCGCTTCGCGGGAAGAGCGATATTTCGTGCGACGAGGTAATAATAAATTATCCTGCACCGGTACCAACTACAGCTTTGTCGTATTTATTTCACGCTCCGTTTCCCCGAAATCAAATCGAACGTGCAATTCGGGATAACCCATAACTAACTCTCGGTGCTGATTTGCGTTTACGATTAACGCTAATTAACTCGAAACAATTCTCAATTAAATATGTCCATTACTAATTAGAGTCTGAAACTGAAATATTTAATTCTTTATAAAGAAGAGTAATTTTTTGTTGTTTAAAAGATTAAAGAAGTTAGTATTAGCGGTTAAATCGTAGTGTAGTCGTTAATCTAAAGTGAGTACTATGAAAGGCGTTTAATTGTCGACCCATTTCGGCGTTCTAAACTTTACGGGTCATGCCATCGGAAGCATCCCGGAGGAGCAAAGGCAGATGTTGCCCTGAAATCCTAATCCGAGCAGTAAAATATTCAAGCTACAGACGAAATGAAACCCTAGCGGAAATTCTCATTTCAGTTAGTTATTTGAGACACACAGAATCCTCCGTATTTATTGGACAAAAACTAATATTTCTCCTTCAATGATCCCAAACGTTTAGTAATAAATCAAATCCATAAAATAAACGAAACAAGTACGTAAACACAAAGTTAAATATTAAAATTTTAATTTCTGTTTGAACTTTAAGATCATTAAAACGGACGAGGATTTTCATTAGAACCGGAGACAAATAAAGTTGAAATTAGCATAATTGAAAACGAAAGAGTTGGCGTGAAATGAGAGATCCCAGCTTCATTAAAATCTCTACAAATTGAATCTGTTCCGTCGATGCACTCCGCAAAGGACTCCATTGTCCTGCGCGTCCTTTTGTTTTCCACCCAAATCGATAAGGACTGGTGAACGTCTGTTTCCTATGTGTGAGTTCCAAAACCACATTTCCAATCCTAAACACATTTAGCATACTTGTTATGTTAGGCAATTCAACAATTCGAAGTCAAGTTTTATAATGATTACCAATATTGATGTTGTGGTGTGTATCTCCAATTTTTTCCAACATCCAATTAGATAACACCTCATTTGAAAACTTATACACTTTCTTCAGTAATTTGTGTATAACATTCTATTGCAGTGCTTCTTTCTGGTTCTGGCAGTCTCCTCCGATAGATGCCGAACTGGTAACAAGACATGTGAAATAATTTAAGCACCTTATACTAAAATTTTGTGTTTTTGCATCTTTCGTAAGCAAATTTTTCAGATTTAGCGGTATCAATTTTATGTCCATTTTATGTTGGTTCCAATCTTCAATCTCTAAATTGAGGTTGCGACAACTCCAGTAATTTCGATGTTAATTTTGGGTCTTGGAAAAATCTGCTAGCCGAATTTCCATCATTCATCATCATCATTAGCTTATACTGTCCACTGCTGGACATAAGCCTCTCCTATATCTTACTACTTTCTCCTATTTTGCGCAAGCTTGCATCCAGTTTCCAGTGAGTCTCTTCACATCCTCTCTCCATCGAGTTGGTGGGCATCCTCTGCTTCTGTGTACCATCTGTATACTTGTAGAAAGAGAGCTAGAGGTCAACAGTAATCTGTGTATAACACGCTTCTATTACAGTCTTTCTTTTAGGCTCTGAAACTCTCCTCCGAGAGATGCCCGACTGACAACAAGACAAAAGAAATAATTTCCGCACCTTATACTAAAATTTTGGGTTTTTGCATCTTTCGTAAGAAAATTTTTCAGATTTAGCGGTATCAATTTAATGACCTCTTTATGTTGCTTCCAATCTTTAATCTCTAAATTGAGGTTGCGACTACTCCAGTAGTTTCGATATTAATTTAGGGTCTTGGAAAAATCTCCTAGCCGAATTTACATCATTCATCATCATCATTAGCTTATACTGTCCACTGCTGAACATAAACCTCTCCCATATCTTGCTACTTTCTCCTATCTTGCGTAAGTTTGCATCCAGTTTCCAATGAGTCTCTTCACGTCGTCTCTACATCGGGTTGGTGGACATCCTCTGCTTTTGTGTACCTCCGCCCTTGGTTTCCATTGCAATATCATTTTCGTCCATCTACCGTCAGTTATTTTTGCCGCATGGCACCTATTTTGCATCTGGGTTATTTCCAGTATTGACCTCTCCATTTTCCGTTGCATCACTTGTATCTTCTTAATGTTTTTCTTCGTCATCGGCAAACTCTCTGGTCCATAGATCAGCTAGATCTGAATACTGTTCTTAAGTTTCCAAACGCTGCCTATGTCGGGCCAATTCTTCACCCGATTTCGTGTGTTTGGTTGTCTCTTCCAATACAGATCGCATGCCCCAAATGTTCCCATCATTAGTACTTCCAAAACAAGCTTTTGGAACATCTACTAAATATAGTAGGAAGAACCAGAAGAAACAGAGTACGAAACAGAACCGTCAAAGAAGAACTAAGCATCAGAGCTCTAGCAAAGGACATAGAAGTTTATCTTCTGAAATAGTATGGCTATCTGGTTCGAATGGTTGAGGAGAGGATAGCAAAAAAAAATGTTTAATATGACATCAGAGGAAAGAATAATACATAATTCTTGGTGTACCCCACTAAGAATCAGGTGGGAAGAAGTAAAAGAGGATGTGGCATTGAAAAGGAATGAAAGTCGCTGTAGTACAAAGGATGGCAAGAAGAACACTTACAGAAGATGGATCCAAGACCCAACACCGTGAGGTAGAATGAAGAAGAAGAATATCTCTAATCTGCTTATTATATTGAAAAAACAAATCTAAACTTTTATAACAATTTAAATGATTTTATTTCCGTAAAACGAAACCGTTTTATCAAGTCGATTGAAAACTGGTCACGTCTCAAAACTATTTTCCCGGGTCGTTTTTAATATTAAATTTCGTCGGGGCGTCGCGACGCGTCGCACATCTGCATACACGTACGTAACCGTTTCGGGTGGTCCGGTACGGGCGTCGCGGCGCGTTGGTTTCGGCAGCCGTAGTCCAGATACGGGTCGATACCGGTTCGGCGGCCGCACGTCGCGTGGCGTCGGTCGTCGTCACGCTGAGAGCGCCGGGACGCTCTCTCAGTCGGCGACAACGCTGCAGCCGACGCCACCAGTAATCAGTTGGCGATGAGACGCGGCCGCAATACAAACTGCACAATCAAAACATCGCGTCGCGACGCCCCGCGACGTTCCGACGGCGACGATGACCTGACCCCGGAGGAAAAGCGTTGCGACGCCTTCGCCGCCAAGAACATCATGTAGGGAATCCCGTTTTATCAAAAACGACGTTATCGCAATGCCAACTGGAAACTTGGAAACTCATACGGTTAGTTTTTTTAATAAAATTATTAAGTAGTATTTAAAGTGAGTAACACAAAGTTCTTTTGGGATACTTGAAATATATATGTAATGGCAAAGTTAATTAAGTTTAGTACAAATAGATTTCAATTTGTCAAATAATTTTCCAAAAAGAGATCTCATTGAAGTTTGTTATGAACTTATTTTTTAAAAATAATTGCTAAAAAATTGTCAGCGCATGTTTTATTATGAATATTATTATGTGAAGTACCTTCCAATGTTGAACCAAGTTATAGCAAACTCAAAATTTGTGAGTATATGCAACTTTTTGTATTTATTTATTAGAATACAGATTTCAAAATTTCGTTGGAACGTTTACAAAATTAATTTTATTTGCTTAATAATGTTATAAATACATGATTGTTGGATTAAATCAATATTACAAAAAAAAAGTTATTCGATGGAAAAGTAATTAAGTGAGTTTGTATGCGTGAGTTGCTCATTAATCGCGTTTTTTGCTGACGTCGGTAAATATTGACCGGACAAAACCCGGATTAAGACAATTCAAGGTCAGCGCACAAATATATAAACGATTTTTTAAAATTTCGATCGATGAGGTGCCACGTGGGGTGGATTGTTAGTTATTGATATTGGAAGTTCACAATGTTGAGCCATACACATTGAACTTCGTATCGTTCTAATCCCATTTTAAAGATCAAATTATCTTTCACAATATCTTTATTACGTAATATTTATTGCAAAAAAGTTGTTTTTATGATCACAAATCTTCACAAACATAAATTTTATGAATAGAAAAATTTCGTTGAAATATTACGATAAAAATCAGCACATCTAAAATTAAATTCATCGGGTAATGAAGCGGACCAAACTTTTTCAGTACATCAACTCATTTTTAGTACCCAACCCTCTATCGTCCCTGTATAAAAAAGGGGGAAACTCTAAAGAAGCACGCAGTTTCTCACAATCCTGAAAGTTGCCTACTTCGCCTCTTGAATTCTTTCCAGTTGTTTACATCATGAAAGGGAAATCTTATAAACGACCACTTGGAAAATGAGAAAATTTCCTGCATTCACAGTTAATTAACTTATTCTATGAAGATTTGGTGATAAAAGTCTTCATGTTGTTAAACATCTACAATTATTTTTGCTTATGATAACGTTGCTACTTAATGTATCACACAATCCTTAAAGTCTGATCTATTACCTACTCTTCTTTCAACCCTCTAACTTTTATGAAAAACGATGTTTTGATAACATTTTGTGGATAAATGTTCCGCGGTGATTATTTGACGTATCTAAAATCTAAAACAGAACATAAATCGTTTATAAAACTAATAAAATTAAATAATAAAAACATTGAAGACTAAATAAAGTAAAGAAAGAATGATAAAATAGAATATTTGCAGTCTAGAACTCGATAAAACAACGACATATAGAATAAAGCATGGAAAGAACTCTAATCTGAGCGCAAATGATCTTAATAATTGCTTTTGTGAGTGCTGGCAGCTAACAAATGAACAAAAAGCAGTTTACTTGTTTGGGACGTCGGAATATAATAATTGTTTGCGTAACAAGGTCACGAAGTTTTATCTTTCACGACCAAATGATGACAGTAGAGGTCGCTTGCATCCTAGGAACTGCAATTCAGAACTTCAACGCTGAATACCAGAAAACAAATACTTTTAAAATCGGTAATTCAAAAAAATTTTGTACACCTCGACTTTGTTTTATCTTTAACGATCTGAATGCCGCGCTTCTGTTGTAATATCTCTCTAAATATGACTAGATATTACTCCTTCAATCAATTATCAGAGTGTACTTAAAAAAATAGAGATATATCTCAGATTTATTGAGTTAACATGATTTAACTTTCTGACCCAGTAAGTATCCAAACCTAACCCAACCCAATACGAGGCGAATGGTTCGGGTAATCTTATAACTACGCTTCATGATGTTATCGTCTGGTGTGAATTGAAGTTTTAGTGTATCATTGACGGCATATGTTCTCATTTAGATGGGCACTTTTTGCTCGCTCCCATTATTGCGCCAATGAACCATTCTCCAGATCTGCGTGAATTATATCCCAATGTGTTAGGATTTCGTGTTGGTCCCAGTTATTCCTAATATGTCCTTTACACCTTGAATTCCGCTCTCCATCTTGTTAGCCTAGAAGTGCTAAACTAGTTTTGTCCATTGAAGAATTTAAATTAAAGCATCAATAAGAACCACCGAATTTGCTTCAAGTTTCTATTTAATGCAGACGCAGCTGTCAACTCTTAGGGCAAACATCAAATCCTGCAGATATAGTCAGAAATATTTTATACCTCAAATCATCAATGACCTTCTAATTATTTGCATGATACTTTTCCTCCTTTCCTGCCATTTTCCTTCCCGTAATGTTAAACTACTGTAATGTCCTTGGGGTGCGCGTCCTTTTGTAGAGTAAAGTGTTTACCGACATTCGGACGGTGAAGATGTTTTTCTAGGTTTCTTCTTATGTTTTGAAACGCTTCTTCAACTTCGAGTCTCCATTTTGAGGCCATGTTCAGGCTATATATATTTGCAGTCTTTCGAATGCCAGGTGGAGATGATAAGATAGATACTTTAACATTTGGGAAAAGGTTTGAAAAGAGGAAATAGCTTATAGGGATAGCTTTAGATGGTATTTGGTGGTAGCAGCATAAGTCTCTGCTTCATCCCGGCGAAGAAGCAACATCACTAAGAATTTTGTCGAGGATGAGTAACACAAAGTACTGTTGCCGATTGAAAAGCACAAGGTTGTTTTTGCCAAGATAGTGAGGTTGCTATCGGAATCGTGGGCAATAATATTGGTAGGTTTGCTGATGTAGACGATTTACACTTGTATGTAATAGTAAAAAATTATTTATCATTAACTTTTACACAGATTTTAATTAATTGCCTTTTTTTGTTGATTAGGTAGCTGGACCAGGAGGTAGTTTATTGGTAACGGAACGTCCCAAGTATCTTGGACAAGTCTTAGCTGCTTTGGCTGTTTCATTGGGGCCATTCGCGGCTGGTTTGGGTAAAGGATATAGTTCACCGGCAATAGCATCACTGCAGGACAGAGATGCTAATGAATTTCCGGTAAATGGGCAGCAAGCGTCGTGGTTAGCAAGTCTATCGTTATTGGGGGCACTATTTGGGGCTCCTTTGGGTGGGGCGGCCGTCCGTTGGGGACGTCGCAAAGCCCTCATTATAGCCAGCGGCCCTTTATCTCTCTGCTGGTTGACTACTGTCTTTGCTTACAATGTCGAAACCATGTGCATGACCGCTTTTATGAGTGGAATTCTTGTTGCGGTTATTCAATTAGCCGCACAAGTTTATATTAGTGAGATTTCTGCTCCTAATGTTAGAGGTAATGTATTTTTTTTATTTTTTCATAATGTTTTTAATACTTTTTGTAGGTGGTTTGAGTGCATTGTTGAAGATTGCTGGTCACATGGGAGTCTTAATAGCTTTTGCGGCGGGAGCATTTTTGGATTGGCGACAATTGGCACTTTTAATGTCGATTGCCCCAGCGGGAATGTTTGTGGCGATGTGGCGAGTTCCAGAAAGTCCGGGATGGTTAATTCTTCGAGGAAAAGACCAAGAAGCTGAACAAGCATTGAGGTGGTTTCGCGGTTCGGGATCGGATCTTCGCTTAGAATTGAATATCCTTCAGAACCACGTACTTCTTCGTCCAGCACCGACAAGTATTTATTTGGTTTTTAAAACTCTACGAACTCCGACCGCTATAGCATGCGGCTTAATGTTCTTCCAACGATTTTCGGGTGCAAACGCTTTCCATTTTTACGTTGTAACGGTTTTTAAACAAACTTTTGGCGGAACAAATCCTCATAGCGCCGCCGTCGCCGTAGCTGTTGTCCAACTTCTTTCCTCATTACTTTCCGGGCTATTAGTAGATCGAGCCGGTCGATTACCTCTTCTCGTGGCTTCTAGTGTTTTAATGATAATGGCTTTAGCCTCGTTCGGCTCTTTCGCTTATTACGAAGACTACCATAGAAAATCTCTCCCACAATTAGACTGGATACCGCTTCTTTGCGTCTTAGTCTTCACAGTTGCTTTTTCATTGGGTATCAGCCCAATTTCATGGCTTTTAGCTAGTGAATTGTTTCCTCTTGAACATAGGGGTTTAGGGACAGCTGTGGCAACAGCTTTTAGTTATTTATGTGCTTTCGTTGGAGTTAAAACTTTCGTTGATTTCCAAGAATTGCTAGGTTTATACGGAGCTTTCTGGTTGTACGCAGCTATTTCGGTTTGCGGTTTATGTTTCGTTATATGTTGCGTTCCAGAAACGCGAGGAAGAGATTTAGCGGAGATACATGCAAATTTAAGGTAAAACATGGTATTGATTGATCCCCTCCGACAATCTTTTGCTGTAATGATTCTTGAAGAAAAATGAATTTGGTTGATCAAAAACGTTTACGCCTACAGTTTTAATACTTTCGTAATTAATGTTTGTGTAAATTGAATTATTTACTACTAGAATAAAAAAGATGAAAACTGCCTTTCGTCAGTGCCTCAGGTACGACTAATTTTGATAGTGTAGTAAATTTGCTAGGCTCTAAAACGTTAATGTTACGTTTATTTAGATTTAATTTTGAATTGATGTAAGTAATACTTTTCGATCAATCATGTTCATGAATTATACAATTTTACTCGATTATGAATTAATTTTGATAATTTTTAGTGCCACTGAAACAATCTTAAATAATCGACAACGTAGGTCCTTCTAATTCTTATAGGAAGGTTAATTAAAAAATGATGAAAATTAATGAAAAGCACCAAAGAAAAATGTACCATTAAGAAATACTTTGCTCAATTAGAAATCGGTTTGCAAAAACGAGCAGAAAATTGAATTATTATCAAAACGTAAAATGTCCAAAAATAAAACAAATTACACGACACATCAAATAAATATTGATTTTGTACTCGTTACTAGCTTATGTTATAAGCTAGTTCCGTCTATTAAGATAAATAGCGTAGATTTGAATGAAAATATCGTGACTGCATAGCTGGAAGATAAAAGAGAAAAAATAAAGTGTACTCAAGCTTTTTACATGTATACCTCTTCGTTTTAGCGAACAAAATGTACGGCAACGTCAGGTAGCACAATCATATTAGAAAATAATGTCCGTAGTATTACATAATTATTGTGAATCGAAGCAACATATAGTCAATCGTAGATCTAGTTCCTACAGAATATACATACCTTATATTAATATCGACGGTTTTATAGAGATTTTTTATTAAATTTTTACATATCTCAACAACAAAAACCCTTTCGAAACGATATCATTAAAACTTACATTCACCAAGTCTGTTGAATTAAAAATCTATGATAATAATCAAAAAAAACTGGACAATAATACTTTTGAAAAGAGACAATAAGTTTCTTCCGTTTAATCGATTAATACTATTTATAAGAATAAATTAGGTTTTTTCGTAGTTTTTAAAAAGGTAAAGAAAGATAATCATTCGTTGACTTAAAATAAAGCAGAATTTTATCTTTACAAAGAAAATCCGCTCAAGAAGTTTAGCTTATGAGAAAACTTCGTGTTAACTAAATAGAAATTTTAATATTACAAAGAGACAATATTTAAGTTTAGAGCTTTAGAGGAATTAAAACGGGAACTTTTTAAAATGTTTTTAATATGCATTAAAATACCTATTTCGCCTAGCTGGCCTATGGCGTAAGTTTGTGATCGTTATTAAATTTTCAAAACAATAAAAGAAACAAAATTATATCAAATACTTATATCCGTTATTGAATCAAATAAAAGTTTAAAAAAAGATGATATAAATAAATACAAAATACAAATCTCTATTTAGACGACGCTTGGACAATAATTTTTATCCAACGCATCCTTTTTATATTAGCTTACTTTATAGAACAATTTGTTATGCAATGTATAAATAAAAAAAAACTTGTATACAATCAGACTTTTATTCGCACCTTTCCTAATTCAGATAATCACATCAAGTATAAATTCGGAGAAAGCTATTAAATAAGTGAAAGTAAAATCTCAGTCGTACGAGTTCAGGTATGCGTCAGATTCTAGTCATTCAAGTTGACGCGAAGACGGTTGTTTTTCATTGAAGTTTACAAAACATTGTCTTTCAATCGTCTGGTCATCTGTCAGTTGAAAATTATCAGTGCCGCAGGTGAAATTATTCTATTTAGTTTTTTTTCGGCAAAACTACAAACGTTGGCCGCTTGTATTTTAAAACTTGCGACACCAGAGAAAGTGTTCGTTTGATAATAATGGGATATTTTCAAAAAAAATCTGTTGGTATCAACATCACTCAGCGGATTATTTAGCGTTCTTAATTGAATAAAAAAGTCTTTTTTATTTGGTGTTTGAAGAAAAACTTTTGGAATTAATTGTTTTAAAGGTAAGTATACATTTTAAAATATTTGTATACTTTAGCTCTTATTTTGTTAAGATTGTTCGATTATAACATCAATTTAATACTTTGCCATCAAAACATTTTTATTTAATCTTTTTAAACTCCCTAAGGAACCAGAAAATTGATTCGTTATAACCAAAGTTTAATAAGCATAAATTAAACAATTTGGGAACAAGTGATTTTTTTCATCCCAACCCAACCTAACTTAAATTTACTTTTAAAGTAAAGGCAATAAGTTATTTGAAACACTTTGAAGGGTTTATTGCTATATTCCAGGATTTTAACCATTTGGCCAGAATGCTTAAGGTGCCGACTAGCACCTTATAATTAGCAGAATTATTATTACCTAAAAAACCGTTCAAGGTGATCCAATTTCTTTGAAGGTTTTTTCATCCGAAATCATCACTTTTTCAAAATCAGTAGTTTTCATCAACTCTACACGTACTCATACATCACACCGCGTTCATGTTTGAACTTTAAGGATTATAACTTACGAAGGGAAACAGCACCGTTCAATAGCGCATTTTTATGGGCAAGGATTGTACTGAATGATGTAATAGATAGAGTAACTTCAAAAGTAGCCAAAAAAGCCATTTTTCTAGTACATAAAGTCAAATATCTCAAAATAATGACGTGATGGACCAATTCTGAGCTTGCATTGTTATTCTATGCAGAAAATTAAAATTACTTCGAAAATGACTCTCAGCTGACTGACAACAAGACCTTGCAAATCTGTGTCATAGTTGATCATAGGTAATTCGTAAATAATAATAAGCGATAAATTTGACAACAATGATTTTTTTCTGGTCGACTGGCCTTTGAAAAATCTAAGAAGTGGGATATTCTTTAAAAGTTGCGCACTCCGCATTTTTTAATATTTTTATTTATTCATATAATAGAAACAATTAATCAATATGAAGGTTGTTACATTATAAACAATAAAGTTGACCCATTTTCCAGACAATTAATGATACGACGTGTTTTTACTCATAATACTTTTGATGCGAACTGTATATACCGAAAATTTGATATAACTCGCAATATATGAATGCTGTAACCAAAGTTACGAAACTACTATGCACTTGCACTGTCCCACATAAAATGCAACATAGCTTAATAGTACAGGCATTGGGTAGTTTTGCAAAGGAAAAATTGCTTGGAAAAGATTTATATGGAAATATATTTTTGAATATTGAATCTTAAGTGAAATTCACTGTATATATTGTGTCTCCATCTCTTAATAAGTAGTTGTACTAATAGAAACAGTTCACTTTTCACTCATATTTACATTTATTTCCTAATATTTACATTTAATGAGAAAGCCAATTTTTAATGTGCTTAAATTTATTAATATTCACTTAATTACTAGTTATAAACAATTAAAGATATCTTTTTTTGTAGTTACCTTGTGGATGAATTAATTCTGGCTGCTTGAAGTGGAGTCACGTGATTCGGTCAGGCCGAGCAAAAGGACCAATCGCGTACAGACAAATACTAAACTCCGTAAATTGTGACAGTGCGTACTATAGATAAATAGAATAGAATAATTGCGTTGGAAGTGACAGTATTGTTGGGTCAACAGCTACGTTCGCGATTACCTACTAACAATAATAATAAACAACGATAACCGGAAGTTTAACGATTTTTTTTTATTTGGTTGGCGAGTTCTTGAAGACGAACGAGAGGTTTTGTTGTTATACGTTTCCCAAAGTGGAGCTGACGAACGAGGAGGAGCTGGAGAACATGGACTCGCTTCCTGTCACGCTCATAGTGAAAGCACCAAATCAACAAATAGAGGATCAAACGGTCAAATGCGAACTATCCTGGACAATTAACAAATTGAAACAACATTTATCTGAGGTTTACCCAAGTAAACCGGTAAGTTGAGTGAGAAGTTAAAGATGTTTAATACGTGGAAAAGTTTATTGAAACACCTTTAAATGCCCCATATTTTATACATTACTTTTAGGTATTACATCATTTCTTTGTGTACAAGCAATTGGTTTTAAAAACGTATAGAAATATTAACACATACATTTAGTTAATAATAAATATTAATATCAATAGGAGTACACCAAGAAATTGATGAAACTTTTTTTATATATGTTGCATCATTCTGTTGTATGAATTTAAATTTCATATTCGTTTATCTATTTTATATACTTTGCATAGAATGCCAACGTTTCATGTTTCCTTATCTACAATGTTTTTGTAGATTATGAGAATAAGCAAATATTTAATTTAAATCATATTTTAAAATATTTTTAAACTTTGACATTATACAGGTGTTTATTAATGGTAAAAAATGTCAATTTCAACATTTATTCTTTAATAAGGTATAGGAATTAACATATCATCTGGTGTTAAGAATTTTAATGTAAGTAATGTTCCAGATATAACTCAGCCTTTAAATTATTGCCTTATTAGTAAACACTCTTATTTTAACTAAATGAAAAGTCAAGTTTTTGCAAATATTTTAAGTGTTCCTTGTATTACAAGATAAGAAAAAGCTGTGATAACAAAAAGAGTTTCAAAAAATTTTACTGTTTATTGTTACATAATTATTTTTTATTTTAACCTTGAAATTAATCAGTGGTTTTTAAACTACTATGCACTGTCCCACGTAAAATGCAACATAGTTTAATAGTGCGCCTGTACTATTAAGGATTGGGTAATTTTGCAAAGGCAAAGTTTTGCTTGGAAAAAGATGATGTCCTTATGATAACTCTGAGGTTCCCTCTTAAGAGACGCATGGCTAAACCCGATTGTTTCTGGTTCTAGGTCTAGTATTAGTTCTACTTTTCGTTCAATAAAAATATACCAGACTTAGAACTAGAAACATTCGGGTTTAGCTGTACGTCTTTCAAGACGGCTAAACCCGAATGATTCTAGTTCTAGTGGTAGTGTAAAACTAGAACTAGAAGTATCGGATTTAGCCGTGCGTCTGAAGACGTCTTTAGACATGTTGCATTTTATGTGGTATAAAGTAAGTAGGTACGCCCTGGTTTCTATGGAAATATATTTTGGTATATTGCACTTTAAGTGAAATTCACTGTATTAAGCTACCACTCAGGACAGATTAGATTAAGCTACCACTCAGGATTAAGCACTCGTGAAAGGCGTCAGACTGCAAACCGCAGGCGACACTACTGGTTTATATATCCAATAATTTATTCCAATATCGGCGGCACTTCGCATACAAATTAAGGTATCATTCCATAACAGATGTAGCACTGCAAATCGCATGCGACACTTTGGTACATGTATAATTTGTATGTAAAGTGCCGCCGCGCTTCGAATCCTTACCATTGAGATATAATATAAACCAGTATTGTAGCCTGAGATATGCAGTCTGACGCCTGTCACGGAATTGTACCTTTATACTGGGTGATTCATAACTCGTGTGCAATATTTTGAATTCTGATGCAAAATAAAGTTTTAAACAAAAAATAGGAATAAAATTTTCACGTTTTCGCCGTTATTTATGAGTTATACAAGTTTTAAACATTTTAGCACAGAAACTTTATAGTTAATAATAATACGTGTTCGGAAAAAAGACTTATGGAAACGCAATAATGTAAATAAAATTAATTTGACAATTGCAAATTATTTAAAGTCGCTTACACTCAAATACTTATTAGTGATTATGCCACAATTTACTAATCAAGAGTATGCAGATATCATTTTTGTTTATGGTTTCTGCAATGGAATCGCCTTAGCAGTCACTACAGAATATCGCTGAAGATTTCCATATTTAGGCAGCCGTCTTCAGCAGTCTTTTCTCTGGCGTACAGCAGCAAATCATAGCGTATTTGCTACAATGTACAGACAGAGGAAGCCTTTATTGACGTGATTACTGATGCACCTTTCGTAAGCACAAGAAGAATTTCCAGAAGACTTGGACCTTTTTAATCGTTTGTTTATCAATCATTACGGTGAGAAGTGCTTCATTCGTATCACATGCAGTATAAAACCAACAAATAAGGGTTCAATTTTGTAAATAATTCTTACAACAGCATAGGCAAAATCCAAATTTTTTTTATTTAATTGTTTGGTCTGACGAAGCATCTTTTACAAGACATGATGTCAATAACGTGCATAACAGTCACGTGTACTCAGTAGAGAATCCGCACCGCATTAGGGTTAGGGTTTTGCAGCAAAGGTTCTATGTATCTTCAATAGATAAATATTACCACTTGTGCTCATCGATCAATTAAATTCAGACGGTTATCTAAATCTATTGCAAAACGAAGATATTCCGTTGGCACAGCTAAGAGACATTTGGTATTAACATGATGGTGCACCTCCACACATAACAAGAGTAGTTGTTACCTGGTTAATTTAATGCAAGATTACCAGACCACAACCTACCAGATTTTGTTTTGTGGGATACATTAAGAGATTTAGTATATTAAGTAGAAATTACCACCATTCAACAACTACAAGAAAGAATAATAAACGCTGTTGAAGAATTGGGAACTAATGGAACTTTAAACCATGTTAATAACTCACTGGTACGTCGCTGTAAGACATATTTCCAAAGAAATGGAAATCATTTTGTGCAAACGTGAAATTTTTATTCTTATTTTTTTAGAACATGTTATAACAGGATATATGTATCTCTGTGACAACTAGTAGTGTGTTCTACGGTTTGCAGTCTGTCATCAGTCTTGGAATGGCATCTTAATACATGTACCAAAGTGTCGCTTGCAAAAACACTGATTAATTTTACAACACTCAACATTTTTAGGATATATCAAGACTTTTGTGAGTCTTCTGTGAACAATAAAAAATAGCGAATTATTCACCAACTTTATAGTTATGTAGCATTGTAATTCATGTTTAAAGTAAAATGTTATAACAGCTGCCTGCGTATTTTATAAACATTTCGTAGCGTTTGTATTGCATTTTATATCTTTTTCAATTTCCCGTTTTAGCGATAATTTTGATTTTGCGTTTGATAAAATTAACAAATCATAAATGTTTTCATTACGTTTTCTGAGTCTGGAGATAACACTTTGATAAATATTACAAACAAAATGATTTGCTTAAACAAACACAATAAAACTTAATTACTACCTATTTATTTTGGGTAATAATTTTTATAGCAAATAAAAATCTTTTTAAATTGAAGTAAATTGAGTACTCTTTTTAGATAAGATACAAATATATTAAAACGTTTTGAATAAAAAATATAAACTTAGTGTAATAATTTAGTTAAACGCGATATATTGTCTTAACTTTTTGTAGTTATGTTGAGATAATAATTTTTTAATTCTATATTTATTAACACAAATGATACGTTAAAAAAACACACCTTGAGTTTTTATGAAGTATTTTGCTGTAATAATATTAGAATTAGTCATACATTTACTACACCACTACCTCAATTGTTATAAATAATTCATGATTCATTCAATGTGAAACATAATACTACATAACTTTTAATTAATATTATATTAAAATTTTTTTAGCCATCACACGAACAAAAATTAATCTATTCTGGACAACTTCTAAACGATACAGTAGTATTGGGCGATATTTTACGTCAATACGACGGCCAAGACACCCATACAGTTCACTTGGTGTGTACACCAAATTTAAGTACAACCACCGTCACAGCGAATACCAGTAACGTGCCGCCTCAACTTAGACAGAGACAATCAACAACATCATCGGGGCCTTCGTCAAGTATGCCCAACATAACCATCCCAGCGAACGTAACCGCAACTAGCGTTAACGCCAATCCAAATGTACCGCATGATATGTGTGCACAATACATCCTTATGCAACAAGCTTATTTACAATACATGAGTCACTATATGAATCTGTAAGTTGGTGTTAAATATTAATTTCAAAACATACTTGATAAAATTGTATCTTTATTTTTTATCTTTGATTCATATCAAATATAAGAAAGAAAAAAAATTGTACCTTCTTATCAAGTACTTGAGATTATGTTTATTTCTAGTATATTCTGAGATTTTTGATTATTTATTTTTTTAGATATGCAAGTGCTGCGAATCAAAATGTTGATGCAGCAAATTTGGCACCACAAGCACAACCAGTAATAAATCAACAACCTGTAAACGGCGATTTGGCAAACGCGAATAATGTGGTACAGCCTCAACAAAACGCATTGGCAGCTCAAAACGCGGCTCCTGCAAACGGAGAACCTGAGGAAGAAAGAGAACTTCTTGATGTGATCTACACTGTACTGAGAATAATTTTATTCTCAGCGATTTTATTTTATTATTCAACACCGCTTCGGTATTTATTCGTTTTATTCCTTGTCGTCTGCCTTTATATTTACCGGATGGGCTTTTTCCGAATAGTTAACGTTAACAATAACAACATAGTACAAGGTGAACCAGCCGTAGAAGAGGCTCCAACGCGGTTAATGGTGGCCTGGACGTTTTTTACGACGTTTTTTGCTTCATTAATACCAGAAATCCCTAACGTCGTCTAGCTTTTATTAACTTCTAAAACCTACAGTTGAGTATTGGGTTTGGCAATCAGAGAGACGTATTGAAAGACAATATTCAATTTATTATCAATAATTATGGAATTAAATTTATTATTTTTACCACCATATTTAGTGTTGGCTGTTATTATTAATATTATTATTGTTGTTTTTACTTATTTTTGTTGTACCCCCAATTTTCTAGTGTATTTATACGTTGTATTTATAGGCTAACTGTGGAAATCTTCTCACAATTGAAACTTGTACGTTTCCATTATTACTGAATATTGAATTTTAAATTCCTCTTGCCTCTAGTTATTTTTCACGTTTTTATTCGGATTTTGCTCTGGGCTAATTCCAGAATAAAATCAATTTCGAGGTATTTGAAAAAGTAAACACTTTTCAACATGTGAATACTTAACTGCTGTATCAGCTGTATATTTGTATAGCATTAATAAATTTAATATTATTACTGATTATATTGTGAAAAAAGTTTCAGTATGTACATAAAAAACTCATAGCTTTAGATTTGTGATTTAAATATAAGTGTCTTACTAGTATTTCTTTTTTTTTTTGGTTTCATTTATTCTGCTATAACCTTACTTGGAAAAGTCATATACCTTGTAAATATTCCCAGATGTTTGTTATACATTGGTAGAAAACAATAACATATTACTATAACATTTTCATGGCTTTGAATGCTATTAGCTCTATTACCATCTTGTTAAAGCAAGTGTCAATTTCTTTTTTTTAATTCTTGTTATTGAGTGTATATGTGATAGTGTCTTGATATAATATGCAATTGAAACGACGTTTCAGTTAATAGCAGTGCAATTAACGTAAATTTAATAACTAAAAATCGTTATGGTAATTAAGTAGTAATTGCTCTTGATTGTATGAATTCTTAAAATGGATTTTTTTAATTAATACAAAAACTTATCTGTAAAGAAGATTTCCATTATTGGTTACAATGCACTCTAAGCTACTGTAAGTTAGATGGAGCTTCACAAATCATCTTGCGTTTCAATGTGCATGGAAAATTAATGAATAACCTCAATATGATAGTAAACATTATTTAGCAAAAGACATGATTTTTTTGTTTGATCATAATAGATTGACCCCATTTACTTCGTGCTTTTGGATACTTTCTTTACAAAACAATACTCCAATGTATCACTGTGGAAAAATTCTGTAACTTGAGAGGGCAACTGAAGTATGTGCATAAGGACTACATATGAAGCTATTCTGAAAGAAGACAGTCTTAATCCCAACGTTCTGAAATGCGGAATGTGTTAATTCTGTCAAATTCAGTTTTCTATTCTTCATTTTTCATTTTATTATTCTACTTCTTTTCTGGATTATGATGATTCATATTCTATTTCATTGTGAAGGTTGGTGGATAAAGGCTAAGGATATGTTCCAAGCTTAAGAAGTGTACTAGCATGATTACTTGATGACATTGAATATTTGACAGGCTTCATGAACATTTAACACTAAAATTTAGTGTAGTATTTGTTTTAACTGCATGAATTCTGCTATTTAAGGTTAATTCTTGAATATAATTAAGAATTTAATTCAGAATTTATAAAGAATGCTGTTATTTACCTAGATAAGTTGTTCAAACACCAATTTTGCTATAATAAAATAGTTTACATGCAAAATTTCATTAAAACTATTTCCTCTAACGACAAATATATCATGCCCCGGAACCGATTCAATGATAATAGTCTGACTACTGGCTTCGTTTCACTCTAATTGACAAAGCTACTACATAACAGGATTTAAGTAAAATGGTCTTATGCCGCACAAGGAGCGAGCGAACGACTTACATAATCCCCTATGTAACGGCGAGCCACAGTTGTACTACACTTGTCCGTTGTTGGTAATAAATTTAAATAGTTCTATACCACCAACAACGTAACGTGTATTAACCGACGCGTTTAAATACGCAAAAGAAAAATTTAAACGGTTTCATTAATCTTAATGGAATTAGTGCGTGGCAAAAACGAAAGCGCTAAAGAAAGTTTCCGGTATATCAGCTCATTCCTTCTAATTGTACAATTGTAACAATTATCTTCCCTATTTTCAAGAAAATTTCACTTGATTATTGAAGAAGAAAGCGATCATTTCTTAACATGGCTAAACCAACTTAGTTTCCTTCTTGTATTTCGATCATCATACCCTTAACTTCCAGGTCTTTCCTTATAATTACATTTCTGGTTTCATCGATATATCTAATTTTATAATTTTCATTAAATAACCAGTTCTCACTTCCATAGTGTAACGTTGGCAGTCTGTAAAGAAAAGGCTTTCAATTTGAAAATCTCGGTTACTCTTTCCATTGCCATCTTTCGAGCCGTAAAGTAATTGTTGAGATAATTGGCTGTCTGTCAACTGTAAAGTCCCGGCAACGAGAAGTTCCATTCCCGGGATAAAATGGTACGGGTATGGATCGAGAGCGGCAAGGAACAAGGAACGGGGTCGAGAAGTGAAGCGAACAGTTTAATGAGTGATTTAGTGGCACAAAGCCGGCGGCCCGTCACCCGTGGGACTCCGTATCAGGACGGGAACAGGCCCGGGAAACGGGCCGCGGCCGTCGCAGAACGAACCGACGCCAATGCGGACCACCCCCAGCTTTAACACCCACCAAACCTCCAGAGAGATTGACGCTAATCTCCACAGAGCAGAGAAGCGAAAACTTTTCAATTGATAAACCGCGACCAAACCAATTAAACAAAATTGAATCTAAACATTAGTATTATTGTTTTCAGTATTTGAAAGAAGAAATTTTTATACAAAACATTTAACAGACACATTAGAACCACGACCTGAACCATCTTCAAGTGTTCATATAAAATGCTGGTTATAACTGACACGTTTGGCTACAAATTGTTAAGTTTGTTACTCAAGATTCATCGTACTTCAAGTTTGATCTTAAGAGTGTTTTGTAATTTGTCCTAGCTCATTACATGTTTTTGAAATGTTGGTTTTAATCAATTTGAATCCAATATTGAATTCATTACAAAATATCTTATTGTATCTTGACAGTAAAGAAACTGACTTTTGTCTTTCATGAGGGAGAATTGTAATTTGATGATGGCAATTTAAAGTACAAAAAATTCTTTAAAATTATTTTAATTATCATAAAATGTTAAAGAAGTTTTTAATAAATAAGTTTTTAGTTAGATAAAGCATAGTGAGAGGCGTCTAAAGCGAGATTGAGAGGTTCAGTCCGGAAACGACCCCTGCAAGGGTGGTCCCAAAGGGCGAGCGGATATCGCGGGAAACGATCGGCGTAAATTGAAACTCATTCACGACGATAATTGGTCCGCTTTCGTGGGACGCGGCCGCCTGCAACGGGCCGATTTGGGTTCAAGCCGGGCTGCGGTAGTGAAATGGTGCGTGCCCCTTTCGCGCCGCCGCCGCCACCAACAACCGCCCACGTCCCTCCGATTCATCCCCCTAGCGCGCGTCACGAGAGATTGGATTGCGCGGACGGAGGATTTTCATCCGCCTTTCTCCACCCTTTTTTTTTCATCATTTTTTTTTCGGCGGGATGCTATTGTGAGCGGTGGTGAGCGAGCGATAATTGGAAAACCGGACGTCTATTTTCAAACTCTAAACAATAAAAAAATATGTGTATATTCATGCAAATCATATCTAGAACAAAAGATTATAACAGGGTTGAAATCAATTAATAATAATGATTACATTAAAATCGATGAATTAATTAACGTTTAATAAAAACGACGAGAAATACATAGTATTATCATCAAAATATCTTTATAATTATAAAAATTACAGATATAAGATAAAGTTCTTTCTGGAGAATTTGAACGGTTGTGTCGAAAATTTTAATGAGAACAGCAATTTGATGTTGACGGAGAAAATTTTCTTTTGGTCATTTAACTGATTTTGAATCGCATTTATTTGAGATTCCACTGATTGTCGCCTATAGTTACATTTTGTTACATTTGTTACATTTTCCAGTTATTAATGGTAACTCTTGGGAATAGGAGCATTTAACAAAAAATCTTTTAGAACAGAAGTTGTAGCAAATTTGATTCGTAACAATATTGCTCTCTTTCAGTTTTGCTCTTAGATACGTCAATATTGAGAAAAATACAAAAATATGAAAATGTGATGAATTTGTTGCTTTTTCTAGTTATTGTAGGTACCCAGGAATCCGAACATATTATAAAAAAACTTTTAGAACAAAAGTTGTAGCAAATAATATTCGTAACAATATTGCTCTCTTTCACTTTTGCTCTTAGATGCGTCAATATTGAGAAAAATACAAAAATATGAAAATTTGATGAATTTGTTGCATTTTTCAGTAATTAATGGTACCCGGAAATCGGAGCATATTACGAAAAAGCTTTTAGAACAAAAGTTATAGCAAATTTTATTCTAAACAATATTGCTCTCTTTCACTTTTGCTCATAGATGCGTCAATATTGAGAAAAATACAAAAATATGAAAATTTGATGAATTTGTTGCATTTTTCAGTAATTAATGGTACCCGGAAATCGGAGCATATTACGAAAAAGCTTTTAGAACAAAAGTTGTAGCAAATTTTATTCTAAACAATATTGCTCTCTTTCACTTTTGCTCATAGATGCGTCAATATTGAGAAAAATACAAAAATATGAAAATTTGATGAATTTGTTGTGTTTTCAAGTTATTGATGGTACCCGGGAATCGGAACATATTACAAAAAAACTTTTAGAACAAAAGTTGTAGCAAATTTTACTCGTAACAATATTGCTCTCTTTCACTTTTGTTTATAGATGCGTCAATATTGAGAAAAATACAAAAATATGAAAATTTGATGAATTTGTTGCATTTTTCAGTAATTAATGGTACACGGAAATCGGAGCATATTACGATAAAGCTTTTAGAACAAACGTTGTAGCAAATTTTATTCTAAACGATATTGCTCTCTTTCACTTTCGCTTTCAGATGCATCAATATTGAGAAAAATGAAAAAATATGAAAATTTGATGAATTTGTTGCTTTTTCAAGTAATTAATGGTAACACTTGGGAGTCCGGGGATATTACAAGAACAATTTTGGAAAAAAAATTTAGCAAATGTTATTCTAAACAATATTGCTCTGTTTCACTTTTGCTCTTAGATGCATCAATATTGAGAAAAATGCAAAAATATGAAAATTTGATGAATTTGTTGCGTTTTCAAGTTATTGGTGGTACCCGGGAATCGGAACATATTACAAAAAAACTTTTAGAACAAAAGTTATACCAAATTTTATTCGTAACAATATTACTCTCTTTCACTTTTGCTCTTAGATGCGTCAATATTGAGAAAAATACAAAAATATGAAAATTTGATGAATTTGTTGTATTTTCCAGTTATTGATGGTACCCGGGAATCGGAACATATTACAAAAAAACTTTTAGAACAAAAGTTGTAGCAAATTTTATTCGTAATAATATTGCTCTCTTTCACTATTGCTCCCAGATGCATCAATATTGAGAAAAATACAAAAATATGAAAATTTGATGAATTTGTTGCATTTTCAGTAATTAATGGTACCCGGAAATCGGAGCATATTACTAAAAAGCTTTTAAAACAAAAGTTGTGCCAAATTTTATTCTAAACAATATTGCTCTCTTTCACTTTTGCTTTAGATGCATCAATATTGAGAAAAATGCAAAAATATGAAAATTTGATGAATTTGTTGTGTTTTCAAGTTATTGATGGTACCCGGGAATCGGAACATATTACAAAAAAACTTTTAGAACAAAAGTTGTAGCAAATTTTATTCGTAATAATATTGCTCTCTTGCATTTTTGCTCTTAGATGCGTCAATATTGAGAAAAATACAAAAATATGAAAATTTGATGAATTTGTTGCATTTTTCAGTAATTAATGGTACCCGGAAATCGGAGCATATTACGAAAAAGCTTTTAGAACAAAAGTTGTAGCAAATTTTATTCTAAAAAATACTGCTCTCTTTCACTTTCGCTTTCAGATGCATCAAAACTGAGAAAAATGAAAAAATATGAAAATTTGATGAATTTGTTGCTTTTTCAAGTAATTAATGGTAACACTTGGAAGTCCGGGGATATTACAAGAACACTTTTGGAACAAAAAATGTAGCAAATGTTATTCTAAACAATATTGCTCTCTTTCACTTTTGCTCTTAGAAGCATCAATATTGAGAAAAATGCAAAAATATGAAAATTTTATGAATTTGTTGTGTTTTCAAGTTATTGATGCTACCCGGGAATCGGAACATGTTACAAAAAAACTTTTAGAACAAAAGTTGTAGCAAATTTTATTCGTAACAATATTGCTCTCTTGCACTTTTGCTCTTAGATGCGTCAATATTGAGAAAAATACAAAAATATGAAAATTTGTTGTATTTTCCAGTAATTAATGGTACCCGGAAATCGAAGCATATTACATAAAAGCTTTTAGAACAAAAATTACAGCAAACTTTATTCAAAACAATATTCCTCTTTTTCACCTTCACTTTCAGATGCATCAATATTGAGAAAAATCCAAAAATACGAAAATTTGATGAATTTGTTGCATTTTCCAGTTATTAATGGTACCCGGAAATCGGAGCATATTACAAAAAAGCTTTTAGAACAAAAGTTGTAGCAAATGTTTCCTTAACAATATTGTTCTCTTTCACTTTGGTCTCAGATCTTTCTACGTCAAAGTAAGACAGTCCTAAGATCGTTGTACAACTCTTTTTTACAAAGTATTTATTTGTAAACAGTAGACAGCATTCCTCGTGGTAATTAAATACATAATACCATTATTTCCCCGTGTTTTCTAGATATTTACCACTCACTACTAAACTTATTGCTCAATTTCTTCTCCCCTTTATTTATTAAGAAATCTCTCAAGTTTGGTTTCATCCCATTTAAAAACATTTAAGTTAAAAACCACGAAAAACCTTTAAATATCATTTCCCTCCTTTTAAATACCCTGATTATACATAATTATGCACCACCCCATAAAAATATTTATCCCGTGGAAGGATTAAGGGTGTTAACAACCACTCAAAATGGTACTTAAAGATAACAATATGCCCTTTCAATTCGTAATCCTTAACATATTGTAAAGGGGGATTAACTTTGTCATCTCCTCTTATCGCGTAATGTCATCCAAACCCAAAACGTGCCCCGAAGAGATAATGTCTCGTTCTCAACAAAATTTTTACCAACCCTACGGTACTTTTCATAAAACGTTCAAAACAAAATAATGAAAGTGATTTATATAAAATTCGTTGTAGATGTCGTTTACACGTTTACTAAAATTACATGTCTTATTATCTGTAATTTAAAGTGATTATCTTATGCAAATTGACCATAAAATACTTTTAAAGTAAGTCAACTCCTTTTAAACCATAACTGCATCCACTAACTTTCAGATTATTTTATTATATGAACGGTAGCTTTGAAAGCTCCATCTTTGGGCTATTGTTACGTCAATTCCTTATAAGAATAAAAATTACAAACAGGCTTCATGTAATAGAAAAGCTCGAAATGTCAGAATGTTTCTTGTCTTCCTTCCTGGAACAGTTTCAATGAGTTCTTTTCGTAATCATTACCCAACCGATGTTGAGAAATTCTGTAAAATTTCTCAACTTCCGCAATTCATCTCCAAGAAATAAAAAAAAAAATACGAAAGGAAATCAGCTTCCGATAATCACCAACGTTCAACGACCACACGTTCGCACAGATTCGAAACGTCCTTAAATGAAAACTCACGCGACATGTGGCCGATGCTGCCCGGTTTAATTGCCCCACAACTTTCACTCATTGGCCATTCCTTCATTTTAGTATGCAGCGTTAGAGCAAAATTTGCTTTTACGCGTAGCACGTTGCTTATTACTACATTAATGAGGAGGATTTTAAATTTTAACGGTTTTCTTATTCCGAATTAGAACTTTCTATAACGCATGGGATGTTATTGAAAGAAGAAATAAAAAAAAAACCTGTTGCGCAAGAAAGTTGCATAGTTCTAGAGACAACAGCCGGCTTGTTGGCTTTCATTTGACGCTTTCTACACTCATTTCAGTCTCGACTCATCGCAATAACTGCGATGATACAATGAATATGACACAAATTTGCGAGTCGTAATCTTCGCTTATTATTATAGAATAGAAAATGTTGCGAGGACATTTAGTTTCGAAATTTGTGGTTTCGTAAAATAAATTGGTTTAATTAATAAAATAAATTGGAGATTAAATATAATTGTTGGTGTAATGATATTAAAAAAACACATCCTATTATAAGAAGACATTTTTATTATAAAAATGATAACAGATCACAAAATATAGGGCGCTTTCCTTCGGCGATTACGCAAAGATGAAGTGTGTTGATGGACAAAATTATTGCAAACGTTGTCAATTATCTGTTCAATTTCAAAGATGATGCGTGGTTGCAATTGAAGCAGCACAAGGGGACGAGAGGTTCCGAGTCGTATACAACAAAGGGTTATAGACAGAGAGAAACATCGTTCAGGGGACGATTTGGTAAATTAAATAACAATACTATTTACTATTATACAAAATAATAAAATATCTAATACAACAAGGACATTTTCTCAGATATTCTTTTTGTTTTAAATTGAAACTAGTGGTAGCCGCCAAAATCGTGCTCGTGATGATGATGGACCTTAACTGGCACTGGGTATGGTACCTTGACTGGCACTGGTACTTCCTTTTCAACAGGAACATGGACTTCCTTGTAGACTGGGTATGGTTTGTCGACTGGTACTTTGACTGGGTAAGGTACTGGTTTGGGTACTTCTACTGGAACTTTCTTCTCAACGGTGTAGGGTTGAGGTACTGGTACTTTAACGTGGTAAGGTACTGGTTTAGGTACTTCAACTGGGTATGGTTTGTCGACTGGAACCTTAACTTCATATGGTACCGGTTTATGCACAGTGTATGGAATGTGCCTTTCAACGGTAACTGGATATGGTTTTGGTACCGAAATATGCACTGGACGATCAACAGGTACTTTTACCTCATAAGGTACTTTTTTCTCAACAGTATACGGTTGTGGTACCGGGATTTCTACTTTAACTGGGTATGGTACTTTCTTTTCAACGGTGTACGGTTGTGGTATCAACACTTTAACTGGTACTGGAACTTTCTTTTCAACAGTGTAGGGTTGTGGAACTGGTACTTTAACTTCATAAGGCCTAGGTACTGGAACTTTAACTTCATAAGGTACCTTCTTAATCACCTCGTAGGGTTGAGGAACGATGTATGGAACTTTGATGTATTCTTTCACAGGTACTGGTACTTTCTTTTCAACGGTGTAGGGTTGTGGTACCGGGACCTTAACTTCGTACGGTACTTTCTTCTCAACCGTATAAGGAACGTGTTTCGTAACTGTGTATGGAACTGGGATTTTCTTTTCTACGACAACCGTTTTGACGTCTTCATGATGTCCGCCGCCGTAACCGCCACCACCACCACCGAAATCGCCACCGCCGTAGTCGGCGCCGCCACCACCGAAATCATGTCCACCTCCGTAGTCGCCACCTCCGAAATCGCCTCCTCCAAATCCATGGTCGCCGAGGAACAAACCGCGTTTCTCCTGCTTCTTTGACTCCTGCTCGACCGATTTTTCTTTGACTTCAACGGAGTGCGCAACAGCACAGATACACAATAATGTTATCTAAAAAAGAATTAAGAAAATTTATCTTTTATATTTTTTGTTTCTTTGTTGAGCTATTGTTTACTTACAAATGCCTTCATGTTGTTCGTGGTCTTGAAGGCTCTGCTTTGGTAGACGATGAGTTGGACTTATATAGGCGCACTTTCCCAAGACCACCACCACCACCACGCTCCATGGGCATTTTGCGCGTCGCGTCTACGGATTTACAACGTGAACGTGTGTGCGTATTAGGATTTTCACTTCCACATCGATTTTATTAGTGTAACAGGCTTGATGCCGCGTACGTTACGTAAGATTAGTTTACTAGTACGAAGGAAGACGATTCTTTACAAATTCTTTAAATTCCCAATTTAGGGGTACCTTTGACGAGACATGTGAGGTCTTTTTACACCTAATTAACACCACATGTTTAGCATACTACTCGTTGAAACGATTCATTAGCATCAATTTACATCTGATTATGTCGAGTAATGCAGATTGTGAAGTGAATTGCAATGATTCAGACATCTAATTGAACCAAAGAGACACATTAAAACTAATTGTTTTTGCCATTATCAGTGCTTTATATTTTAAAATTCAAGTACAATGACCTTATTCACTTGAGAAAAAAAAATTTGAACTTTCAGAACGAGTTTCTCGATTGTGAAAGAATGAATTTCTATTCAATATTCATAATTTTCATTTATACAAAATTGTTGCGATAGCATCTTTGGAAACTTGTGGCTGTAATAAGGGATGTGTCGACGTGGTATGCACAAATGTTTCCTTAAAGTCTCGCTGGTAGAATTCTAGGTTCTGAAAGCGAAACACGACAGGGCTAACCGATAGAAAGGTGTACTAGTCACGAAACGTCAATTTGTATTGTTAGAATTTCGTGTCCCGACCTAATTGTGACATTATCCCTCGCTATTATCGAGTGTACACCGGGCGAGTGGCCTACGGAGGGTTGCAACATTTAAATTGCGTCCTTCACGGAATCCATCGAAACAACAAAAAGGCCTTCACCATTAATTGGTTTAATTTGGAACCGTTTCTGCAGCTACACATCTCATTTCAAAATTACAACCAGTTCCACTCGGCATATTACACAAATTGCATAACACTTGTTGTGAATTCCTTAGTTTTATGGGAAAGTAGAAAATTTTAAACATAGCTTTTAAGCATCTTTCGATGATTTTTATAAAGTTTAATTATAAATATGGATTGCATGATTTTTAGAAATAAATAATGTTTCGTTTTTTATATTCGCTGAATAAATTAAAATATATTATTTGATAACGAATTTCTTTATTGAAATTCAGTTTACGACGTCATAAATTGAATAAAATTTCACAAATCGTTTCGATTCGATAAATGCGCAACAACAGCGTCAGTTGTAAGGAACACGATTCAACAGATGTTATATGCCGTACTTTTCTTCGTTTCCTAGAGTACATTTTACTTCTTTTCCATGCATTTTTTTTAGTATCAAATGAAATAGTATTTTCTTTATTAAACACAGAAAATCATTAATAATTTTTGGTTACAATTGAAAGTAAACTACGAATAATTAATCAACCATCAAATTTAGAATGTTCTATATTCGAAATCATCAATCTTAAGGTAAAATTACGAATTTAGCAATCGCGAACAATTCACATACCGTACAAGTATAAACCGTGAAGCCTCGTAAGCTTTAATTAAGAATGTAGTTCAATTCGGTATTCTCCGAATGCTTTAACAACAGCTGCTATGGTAGAAGTGAAAATATTTCCTGTTCATTGGCTGGTTTTCAATAGTTTCCACTTAATTGTAATGTTCTTCCGTTAACGTACGCGCAAAGCTTGCGTAAGAACTTGAGACGTTCGAATGACTTAATGATTTTGACTCAAGTAAAAGGATTTCAAAAATTAATCCAAATTCAATAATTTTTCTGCAATATTTTCAAGGTGAAGATATTGTACACACGAGACGATTTAGAGCGTAAATAATTATATTTAATAGACAAATCGTCTATACTTGGCTAACCGAATGAGAGGAAGGAATTCATTGTCGTAACGGAGTCGTAGAGATTTTTAATTAGACCGTAATTTTAACTCATGAAATTTCAGCTCCGTTAAACCTTAACGAGAAATAACGAATTCCCCCACCGATTTTACTCCCTCTTTCTTTTTGCTGTATAAATAGCAGTGCAGATTTCAGTTGGTTGTTATAATTCAACGAGAAGTGAAATGGAAGCAGAAAAATGGATTCAATAGAACTTGGAAGTGAAGTAAAGTAGTTTGACACTCTCTATTATACACATATAATTTTATACTATCTTATTTTTCTTATCAATAGTTTTGAATCAGTTGTGCAAAGTATTTGAATCTCTTCTAAGCCATAACTTTAAAAGCTGCTATCGTGACTACATTAACATAATAGTATTGGAGGATTTTTGCTATCGGTTATTCTTTTGATGAAGTTTCTTCAATTTGCTTAATTTCTGTGAAGTCACCATCACCTTTTAAAATCAAATTTAAGGTTTTGATTTAGATTGGATTTACTTTCATTGAAGTCGCTTAGTTTAATACTAAAGTTTTTGATATTTATTTATCTCCACAACAGTATCCATTAACAGAACAAAAACAAAGCATAATAATAATACAGAAGAACACATTTACAATTTTAAGAAACTAATTGTAACCCAAGTGTTACTAATTAATGGTAACACTTGGGAATCGAAGCATATTACAAGAAAACTTTTAGAACAAAAGATGTGGCAAATGTTATTCTAAACAATATTGATCTTTTTCACTTTTGCTTTTAGATGCATCAATTTTGAGAAAAGTATAAATATATGAAAATTTGATGAAATTGTTGCTTTCTCAAGTAATGGTAACATTTGGGAATCGAAGCATTTTACAAAAAAATGTTTAGAACAAAAGTTGTAGCAAATGTTATTCGTAACAATATTGCTCTCTTTCACTATTGCTCCCAGATGCATCAATATTGAGAAAAATACAAAAATATGAAAATTTGATGAAATTGTTGCTTTTCAATTAATTAATGATAACATTTGGGAAGCGGAACATTTTATAGACAAATTTTTAGAACAAAAGTTGTAGCAAATGTTATTCGTAACAATATTGCTCTCTTTTACTATTGCTCCCAGATCTTTCTACATCAAAGTAAGGCAGTCCTAAGACCGTTGTTCTAAGGTGGACCTAAATCTCTTTTTTCTCTCTACTGTTTAGAAATAAATTCTAAACAATAGACAGCATTGATCGTGTTAATTAAATACATAAATTATATTAAATTATAAACCTTAGTATTGCTCCAAGGTCTTGTTGCTTTATTTCTCTTTGGCCAGCTTGTCCGCGTTTTCATTGCCCTCAATATCTTTGTGACCTGCAACCCATCATAGAGTAACATCATTACCCCTAACGAGTTCTCTTAGGTTGCTGGTACACTCTGATCAGTTTGGAGTCACACGTGTAGGCTTGAATTGCCTTTAGGACAGTCCGACTGTCCGTGAAAATGTTTATCGATGCACCTTTTTGCCCCTTTTCTTGGTTCACAACGGTGCAGAAGTTTATAGCAAGAACTTCAGCTTGAAAAATGGTTATGACCGAGCTGAGCGGCAATTTCATGCGGCTATTTGGTCTACTAATTGGTCCATACCTACTCCGGATCCAACTGTCTTTGAAGCATTGGTGTACCAGGCAAGGGCTCCTCTTTAAACATAGTATGGCAGATTAAATTTGTGAGCTAAATACTGAGTAAAACTTTTCTGCAACCCTTCAATGCAGTCAATATGCACAGGATTTCAGACAACCGAAGCATAATTTAGTACATCATTGACAAGGTACACATTGGTCTAGAAATTTTGATGATGAAACCTAAAAATCTATTAGCTTTTGAGAATATAATTTCTGAATGATTATTGAAAAGCAGTTTAGAATCCTAGATCCTTCACGCCTGTAGTCATAGCGTACAGATCAGATGTTGATTGTACTTTAGTAAATATTTTGCAATCATCAGCGCAAAGCAAAAATTGTGATGAAAATATTCGTGAAAATCGTTTAGGTTATGAGCAAAACCGAACCCAAGTGATTTCCTTGAGGCACTCCAGAAGTAACTAAAGCGAAGTTAGAAGTGTACTTGTTAATTTTTGATAGATACCAGCTAATTGGACAAATTATACCCTTCTAGTTTAGATAGGAGAGTTGCATGATTTAATAATTGCATGAGTTATGATTGTTTCTTACCACTTCCAGAACTTTTTGTAAGCGATGGGCTTAATAGATTTGAAATTAGTAAGCAAAGACGAAGCACTGGATTAGTCACCTAAAGTAATGACTTTCTCTCTTACTGTAGAGATTAGTTACTTACTACGAGGCGTTTCTGGAATGAACTTTTCAAATATTGGAGTAAGATTCTGCTGGTTTCGTGCTGATGATATAAAATACATTTTTGAAGAAATTGTTTGAAATATCCATGGATATGACATACTGCATGGAGATGTTCTAAACGAAGACTGAATTTATTAGTGATTACTAATTTGAGAAACATGATTATAGCACATAACCAGCAAGCACCCAAGTACAACTTATGTAGTTTATTAATTAGAATACATGATTTGCACATTAAGAAATGGGTAAATATAAAACAGGTGGAAATTAGCTTTTGAAATACCAACAAGACGTTTTATTTGTTTCAGATTCCTCATCAGAATTATCACTGTTGTCACATTTTCAAAATTAATTTTCTGCCATCACCTATTCCTTCTCCATGCTGTTTACATTGATTTACTATTTGTCACAAATTTGACAGACAACAAAAGGTTCTGGAACATAGATGTGTTCTTGTATTTCTAGATGTAGAAGGAAAAGATTACACCCATATAATACTATACCAATCAGAGAAAACATTAGGGAAGTTCAACATTAGTAAGAGAAGATAAGAGAAAAGGTTCTTTTTCTCTTAACTGATATTTACAATTAAAAAAATAATAAACTAAAGTTAAATGAAATATAAAGTAATAAGAAAGTTTGAAATAATACAACATAAATCTAAAATTAGCTATAAAATTTTCTGCTTTTAAATTACATAATCATGAGATTTAGGAAAATGAAGATTGGCATATCACGTAAC